ATACGTATTTGTTATAAGAGTTTGGCTTTTCTTTTTTTTTTTTTAAGTGTTGGCGGGGATGGTGGTGATGATGGATAGAACTGGGAAAGAAAAAATACATGCTTGTTAACTGAAAAAAAATTTTAAAAGAGAGAAGAGGGTGGATGAATGAAGTGTTCATGTGGAGGTAGAATCAACAGGACGTTGTGAGTGATGTGGACATGGTGGGGGGGACCATGGAAGCATCAAGAGTGACTGTCAGATTACAACTGCAGGTGACGAGAACCAGGATGAACCCCTTCACAGAAATATGAAAGTTTGGGGGAAAGATAAAAGGCTCTGTGTTAGACATGTTGAATTAGAGACTAGACATCCAGCATGTCCAGCAGGTGGTCAGACATTCACAGGAGAGACCAGGGATGGAGGGGTCAGCATACCGATAACAATCAAACCCTTGGGATTTGTCAAAATCAAACATGGGTGAGATCACCAGAAGAGTGTAGAGGGAGAAGGGAAGGGAAGGGAAGGGAAGGAAAGGGAAGGGAAGGGGAGGGAAGGGGAGGGAAGGGGAGGGAAGGGGAGGGGAGGGGAAGGGAGGGAAGGGAAGGGAAGGGAAGGGGAGGGGAGGAGGGGAGGGGAGGGGAGGGAAGGGAAGGGAAGGGAAGGGAAAGGAAGGGAAGGGGAGGGAAGGGAAGGGAAGGGGAGGGAAGGGAAGGGAAGGGGAGGGGAGGGAAATGGAGGGGAGGGGAGGGGAGGGGAGGGGAGGGGAGGGGAGGGAAGGGAAGGGAGGGAAGGGAAGGGAAGGGAAGGGAAGGGGAGGGAAGGGAAGGGGAGGGAAGGGAAGGGAAGGGAAGGGAAGGGGAGGGAGGCCAGGGGAGAGAAGAGAGAAAAGACAAAAAGAAGAGAAAAAGAAGGTAGGGGAGGGGAGGAGGAGGGAAAGGAGGAGGAAGAGGGGAGGGGAGGGGAGGAATGAGAAAGGAAGAGGGGCCAGGGCAAAGTCTTAAGGGACACAGATGATGGTGTGCTGAGACACACCCAGCAGGAGGATCTAGGAAAGAAGACTGAGAAAGAGCAGTCAGACAGCATTGGCTCCCCGAGTCTCCAGGATCCTATGATGAGGGCGTATGAGCTGAGAGAGGCAAAGCAAGGGCGTGCCAGCCTACACAGAGTATTTGCTCTACAAAGTGGCATCTTAGGGATGAGGGTGGCTGGGAGTCTGGGTCAGTGAATACCAACAGTGGGTCTCTATGGCTCCCTCACATCCAGACTGGCCAACTCTGGGCCTTCAAGATTATTGGGGTGGGAGGGACCAGAAGACTGGGCAGCTGTGGGTGCCCTCATCTTCTTTCCTTCTCAGGATGAGCTCTGCATTCCCCAGCTTCTCCAGCCAGACCTGCTGCTGTCCAGCTGGTGTTCTGATGAGGAGCAGAAGGGCTGGCAGGATGGAGGTGGGAGTGGGGGAGGCTGTTAGGAAGGGAGCTGGTGGGGCTGGAAAGAGGGAGGCTGTGGGAGAGGCTGGCAGGAGGGACCCTAGAGGAGGTAGCAGGAGGTAGACAATGAGGGGCAGCTAGGTGGCACAATGAATAGAGTTCTGGCCTTGGAGTCAGGAAGACCTGAGTTCAAATCCGACCTCAGACACTTGACACTTACTAGCTGTGTGACCCTGGGCAAGTCACTTAACCCCAATTGCCTCACCAAAAAGAAAAAAAAAAAGGAGGCTATGGAGGAAGCTGTGGGGGGAGGCTATAGGAGAAGCTGGCAAGGGGCAGCTAGAGGGGGTGGTAGTGGGGAAGCTGGCAGGGGGGAGGCTGTGGGAGAGGCTGACAGGAGGGACAGCAGAGGAGGTGGCAGGAGGGAGGTTATTGGGCATGTGGCTTTTGGTGGTGCTGACACTGTTTCAGAGGCTTCCTTTCTGGGAGCCCTGACAGGAAGGAACAGGCCTTGAAGGCAGAGCCCCCCTTCGCTCCTCCCTCCCCCAGACAGTGCAGCAGTCTTCTGGCAGAGGACCACTGACAAACTTCATTTTCTTTTCTGGGAGTTTTCTGCCCTGCTCCTCTGTCTCCTTCCTCAAGGTCTGGGCTTCTTTTCTTTCCTCCTCTCTCTGTCGCCTTCTTCATTCATGCCTGTCTCTGATTCTGAGGCTGGTAGAGTGGTATAGTGCTGGAGTCAGTGAAACCTGATTTTGAATCCTGCCTCAGATACTTAGCACTCTCAGTGCCTCAATTTCCTCTTCTGTAAAATAGGGATTATAATAGCACCATCCTCCCAGAGATGTTGTGGGGATCAGTTGAGAGGTGTGCAAAGTGCTTTTCTTGCTGCTGTTACTTTGGGCTTCATGGCCACCTCTGGGCAGATGATGCTCGGCTCCCTTTGCCCCTCCTAACCTGTCTCATGTGCTCCACACCCACATCCCCAGCTGGCTGTTGGATCTGAATGTCCTGCTGGCTTCTTAAACTTAATCCATCCCAAACCCAGCCCATCCACTCTTCTCCTGGTGTCCCCATTTCTGCCTGAGGTACCACCATTCACTGCATTTCCTGTGAGCTAACTTCAACTCTCCCGTTTCTCCCCTTTCCAATCCAGGCAGTTACTAAATCCTCTGTCCTCACATCCACCCACCTCAAATAGGTCCCATTCTCTCACCTGCTTGGACTCGGCTTCCCACCTCCATCTGCCTTGGACACTGATCCAGTCACCTCCTTTCATCTCCAATCATCAGTAGCTCCCCATTACCACTAAGAAAAGTTTCAACTCCTCAGGCTTGGAATTTAAGGCCCCTACCACGTCTACCTTTCCTCCAAAGACCTGATGCTCCTAACACGTCAACGTTCTTCCAAACCACCTCCCAAGTGGAGTGGCTGTCCTCAGGGGGAAGTGAGCTCCCCTTTCCTGCAGGACTTTGAACTGAGGGTGGATGACCACATGTCAGGGAAGTCCTAAAGAAGAGTTTTGTTCAGGGCTGGGTGGAATGCCTCAACTTCATTCATTTACCCTTCAATTTACTCACTTACTCCTTCATTCATTTAGAAAGCATTTTGTAAACACCTGCCACATGCTGGGTATTGGGAACAGAGACAAACACCAGCAGAGCCTGGCCTCTGGGAGCTGCCCTCTCTCCAAGTCTTCCTCTGCTGCATTGTGACTTGCTCTTTAGTTAACTCCGATGTCCCCTCCCTGACAGAGCCGGCGGGTAATCCCTTCCTCCTCTGACTTCATCTAACCCACAAATTCATTCACTCCCTCATTCAGATAGTCAGAAAACATTTTTCAGGCCAACGCTTTGGGCTGGGGCATTGGGGAGATCTGAAGATGAGTCCCAACAGGGTCTTCGCCCTTAAAGCGCTCACATGCAAGGGGGATGGGAAGGTGCTTATGCAGGTGAGTCACTAGCCTGGTATCCGAGGTCAGAAGAGACCTCACAAGGGGGTCATCCTGTCAAACCTGCCTCCTGATAGAGTATCTGGGCCCACCCCGTCCCCTCCAGGCCAGGCAACTTTCTCCTTCCCATTCTCTCTGGCTCTCTGGAAACAGGCTGGAGGTCAGGAAAGTGGCAGGGAGCTGGAAGGTGAGGCTGCCTTCCTTTAAGCTGCTCTGACGTGAGGAAGGGTCCAGACAGAAAGAAGGGGACCTGGCACTTGGGAAATCCTGAGCCCACCCCCGCTGCTGCTGGCAGGGGCCTGGTCAGACAGCTTTGGGGCCAGGACCCCACACTTTTCTTGGTGTGAAGATCAGAGAGCCCACAGAGGCCTCCCCCTAAGACAAAATTCACCAAATTAGTATAGCGTATCTGGGGATATTCATTACAGCGCCCAATGTCATCTCTGATATATGCAGCATCCAAAAGGGATGATTTTGGTAGTTCAATTGTCTGGTCATCCGAAGCAGCTCAGCCTGAGTGAGAGGGATGTGGTGTGGAGAACAGTGGATGCAGAGCCTGAAGCCTGGGATGGAAAACCAGCTCTGCCTCCTGGGGAACTCCTGTTTGCCCTCCTGTGCTGGTATAACCCCCTGCATAGCCGCCCCCCTCCAGCGTAACCTCCTGTTTAACTGCTAGTGTAACCCCCTGTGTAGCTGCCCCCCTCCAGTGTAACCCCCTGTGTAGCCCTTGGGGAAGGCCCTTCCTTCTCTTCCTTAGCACCCATAGGTGAAGGGAGGAGCTAGCTTGGGGGCTATCAGTCTTTTCCAGCCTTGCAGCCTTTAGACACACCCTCCCTTTAGCCCCTCTGTCTGCTCTTTCCTTAGTTCTCTAAGCCCTAAGTTTCCTGAGGCCTTTTTCCTTTTTTAGGGTGACAGGAGTTCAGGCTAAGTGCCCCCCTGGGCTTTGGCCCATCCTCCCTTTCACTTTCAGGGGCCCTCTACACTCTAAAGTCTCCCAGCCTTTGGCTGAGCCACAGAAACCTGGCAGGGCCACGCATTGTCACTCCATCTCCCTCTGGGCAAGTGTGACCAGGCACCCCCAGGAAGCTTCTATCTAAACTCCAGCCTCCGGTTTCCGGGGTGTGCCATCACCTGTTACACAGGCAGCTACCGGACCTGCAGAGAAGCGGCCCTGAGGAGTCCACTTGGACACCCCGTCTTTGGGCAGGGCTCAGGCAGGCTCCTGTCCTCAGCAGGAGGCTACAGCCTTCCCCGCTCCTGAGCTCGCCCACTATGCTGGAAGAAACAGCTCCGAAAAGCAGGCAAGCCCCTTTCCTTCTGGAGGTGTTGGGATGGGTGTGGATCCACGCACTAACCATGGAAAGCCCATGGTCAGGCGGTTTTAAAAAACACCCAGAGTAGCCCCCCTCGACCGCCACAGTCCATATCCAGCTAATGAACTAGGGGTTGGGGAAGGAAGGGTGAGGAAAGGAGCACCCCTAAAGACTCAAGGAAGGGCACCCCAGAGGCTCGATGGAGGGAGCACCCCTAGAGACTCAAGGGGAAACACCCCAGGGGCTGGAGGGAGGGAGCACCCCAGAGGCTCTCTCTTGGTGCAAAGCCACTCAGCCATCCAGTTCACACAGGTCATAGGCAGGGCTTACCTAGCTTCAGCAGAGCTATCTGGCCTTCAAGCAGATAGCAGCAGCCAAGAGGAGAGGAGAGGATGATTGGAGAGATAGCCCGGGGGCAGGCTGGTCTGTTGGAAATGAGAATGAGCTTTGATTCCAGACCCTTGGTGAGCCTGAATCAGGCTCATTAGCCTCAGCTGGATGCTGAGTGGCCAGGCAGGGTGCCAGGGTGGAGATCTGGGTGGGAGCATGAGGCCACTTAAAGGCACAGGGCCCTCTAGGAGCAGGGCTGGGCTCCCAGGCTATTCTCCAGATTGACGTTAGTATTTTGACGGGGCATCTCTGCCTGGACATCCGGCTATGGTGGAATAGCTTTTCTTGTCTCCACATGCCTGTGGCTGAAATCCATTTTGTGGGGCTTCTGCTCAGATCATAATTAATAACAACAATATTAATTCTCTTAGCACCTTAAAGTTGGAAACTGCTATTACATATGTTCTCATTTGACTTTCACAGCAGCCCTGGGCCTTAGGCACTATTATCATCCCTATTTTACAGATAAGGCAACTGAGGAAGGCAGAGATTAAGAGACCTGGCCAGGGTCACACAGCTAGTGAGTATACAAGGGAGCATTGGAACTCAAGTCTTCTTTCCCCTTCTGGTCCAGTGCTTTATTGGCTGCACCACCTCACTGTCTTGTTGGCAAATACTCCTGTAAGGATGGATGCAGGTTTGCTGTGTCTAACTCTTGTGTCAGAGTTTTTCTTCTGACATGAACAAATTGGGCACCAATTTGTGAGGATTCTCATTCTTTAGCTAATAGGTGTCAAACATGCTGCCAGAATGTGGCCCACAATACTCTTAAGTGTGACCCAAACCAGATTCAAATGTCGTTCCTTTCTGGTTTTAATGTGATGATGTATTGATTTTTTTAAAAATCAATTTTTTTAAAAAAGAAATCTATGAATGTGTGGTTTTCTAAGTCAATTTGCAGCTCTCAGGGACCATTATGTGCAGCTTGATGGCTCCCAATTCCATTTGAGTTTGACACAAATGCTCTAGCTCCCTGTTCCCACCCATAGCTTCTGAAAATTATTTGTCTGATGCAAGTTGGGATGTTGCCACCAAATCCCCTTACAAGCATCCAGATCACAAAGCTCAAAAAAGAAACCCATGAACGAACAAGTCACAGAACTTGTTCATGAGATTCATGTCAAAGCCTATAATGATGCTCCTCAATGAGCAAAGCCTTCCCCAGAGGCCGGTAAACTGATGGCTTCCATCTCCCATATGGCCTCTCCCTGGGGGTTTCCTCCCCCTTTGGGTCTCCTCCTTGCAATTCTCCTTTAACCCAGGACTACAGGACTCAGCCTGGGTTCAAATCCACCTGAGTTGTCTCTCCTAGAAGTCCCTTTGTAATTTCCCATGCTCCTGACTTCCCAGTGACCCAGGGCAGGCAGTCACCTCTCAGGGAGCTCTCTCTCAAAGGAAGGGAAAAGGCTTCCAGAGCCAGGTCCTGGCCAGGGCATGCCCCTCCTCAACCATCTCTCTTGCTCCAGGCAATGCCCTCCACTTTTCTTCAGATGTTCCCATTCTGCCATCTTTTCGCCTCGTCAGGGGCAGGGCAGCAAGTCCACCCTTCAGAGGAACCCACCCTCCACACAGCCTCTTAGGACCTCACCTCTAGAATCTGGAAGAGATCCCACCAGAATCCCATTATGTTTTCTGTGACCCCACCTGGCTTCCCTGATCCTGTGAGGTCTGGAATGGGAGAGATCAGAGGGGAAAGCTGCCCACAGCATCGCAGGAAGAACAATTAGGGTTTTGTGATTCCTACTTCCCCTACATGTTTGTTTTAGCACAAAGGATGATCACTATGATCTCATTTTCTCATCTTTGTGAAGGAGTTCAGCTAAAAATCACCTGGGGACAAGTCACTATCCTGCTATTATTTCTTAGACTTACTGTTTGGAAGACTATTGTGGAGTTGTATAAAATGGCTGCTGTTTTGTAATTAAAGAGAACCATGGGGCTGTAAGCTCATGTTTTTAGGCTTCTGACAGCACCTTTAACCCTCCTCTCGTAGCAGGCAGGATGATGTGTCCCTCATCCTGCTCCCAGTGGTTTTTATGTCATCTGCTAAGTCTCTTTGCTTCCAAAGTTTCTCATCCCATATAGTTGAGAAACTATGAGTATTTGGTATGGCAACATGAAGCAGTTGATAGAGCGCTGGACTTGGAAACAGGAGGATCTGAGTTCAAATCTATCCTCAGACTAGTTTCGAAGCCCTGGGAAAGTCACTTTAGCTCCCCGTCTCAGTTTCCTCATCTGCAAAATGGGGCTAATAAGAGCACCTACTTCCCATGGTTGTAGACAATATTTGTAAAGTGCTTTGCAAACCTTGAAACACTGTGTACATGCTAGCTACCATTATGGCAACATCTGCTTAGAATACTGTTACAGGTGTTGTATCCAGGGAATGCTTGGCAACAGTTTTGTCAGTGACAATTGTCTCAAACATATAGGGAACTGAGCCAAATTTGTAAAAATAAGAGAACTGAGAATTGGCCAAAAGATAGGAGGGTTTTCAGTAGAAGAAATCAAAGCTATCAATAGTCACATGCAAAACTCTAAATCATTAATAATTAGAGAAATGTAATTTAAAACAACTCTGAGGTATCACCTCACAGCCATCAGATTGGCTAATGTGAACAGAAAGAAAAAAATGACAAATGCTGGAGGGGATGAGGGAAAATAGGTACACTAATGTACTGTTGGTCCAGTTGTGAACTGACCCAACCATTGTGAAGAGTAATTTGGAACTATGACCAAAGGGCTATAAAACTATGCATACCCTTTGATCTAGGAGTACCAGTACTATGTCTGTGGCCCCAAGAGAAAAAGGAAAAGGACCTATATGTACAAAAATATTTGCAGCAGCTCTTTTCATGGTGGCTAAGAATTGGAAATTAAGAGGATGCCCATCAACCAGGGAATGCCTGAACAAGCTGTGGTAAATGATTATGATGGAATGCTATTATGCTATAAGAAATGAACAGAAAGGTTTCAGAAAAACCTGGGAAAACTTATATGAACTAATGCAAAGTGAAGTGAGCAGAACCAAGGGAACAGTTTATACAATAACAATATTATAAAGACAAAATGATCTAAAAAACTTTGGAATTCTGATCAACACAATGAAATCAACAACAACTCCAGAGGACTTAAAGATGAAATATGCTGCCCACCTCCATCTGGAAAAGCAGGAGACCTGGAGGACAGATTGAAGCACACACACACTCACATATACCACACACATACACACACCACACACACCCACCACACACATATACCATATAACATACACATATACACATTCACATACACCACACATACACACACATTCACATATACCACACACATACACACACATATACCATACACAAACACACCACACACATACACACACATCACACACATGCACCACACACACATACCACACACATGCACACACTCACATATACCACACACCATACACACACCACACACATATACACACACTCACATATACCACACACATATACACAGCACACACACACACACACACACTCACATATACCACACACCATACACATATACACATTCACATACACCACACATATGCACACCATACACACATACACCACACACATACACACTCACATTCACTGCGCACACATACACACACTCACATATACCACACACATACACCACACACACATGCACACACTCACATATACCACACACCATACACATATACACATTCATATACACCACACATATGTACATCTCACATACACACATTCACATATACCACACACATACACACACATATACCACATACACACCACACACATACACACTCACATTCACTGCACACTCATACACATCACACACATGCATACCATACACATACACATACCACACATGCACATACACAGTACACACCATGTGCCACACATGTGTGTGCAGTACACTCACACATGTGTGCACACTCTACAACACACAAACACCACACACATACATACATACCATACACACACACACTCACACAAGTCACACATTTACCCATACCACACATATACACAATGCACACAAACTATATATAATACACATATATACATGCATATACACATACGATCACACAGACACGTACATCCCTCCCCCCGCCCCCCGAGTTGGATGTGGACAATGTGGCGATTTGTGTTGTTTGACTATAAACATTTGTAGCAGGTTTAGTTTTTCCTGCTTTCTCCATGGGTGAGGGTAGGGGTGGGAGGGAGAGAATTCAGAACTGAAAAGAAAATAAAATTGAATTTAAAAAAAAACACCTCTGAGCTACAACCAAGGATAGCCTTGGAAAAAAGAACTATTTCTCAAAATGTATATGATGTCGAATAGAATACAAATGTGACCCACGTGATGAAGAGTTTAGGAATATGCGTCAAATTCTGGTGGGATCAGTGCCAAATTGTGCAAAGTTACAGCACATTAAATGTTTTTAAAGATATGAAATGTTATAAGGTTTACTGTATGTCAAACTGATTTTTAAAATTTAATAAAAATATTTAATCATTAAACCATGCAGATGACTTGACCGGGGAGAGGTGCTAACAAATGGGACGGCTGACCCAGGACTCCGGGATGTCCCCAGTCTAAGACGATGAGTGGGATCTAATAAGAAGCAAAGCTTCAGCCTCCCTGAGGCTCCACTTGCCAAGGAAGCACCGCGCTTTGGCGACCTCTGGTGGCAGGAGCGCCCCCTCCCCCCTTACCTTCAGTGGCTCCCCTGGGAGGCTTTCTCTGAGCCCCACCCCCCTTTATTTACACTCCATGGATCTTCTGTGGACAAAGTCCTTTTAAGTCTGTCTCCCCCACTAGACCAGACTGTGAACTTCTTGCAGGCACTTAGTATAATGCCTGGCACATGGTATGTGCTTAACGACTATTGAAATATTTGGCCTCATTGAGGTAATCCAGTGCCAGAAGGCGAAGGAAAGCCCGGGATGAGTTGCCTTGGTGGGAACAGGTTGGGGATGTTGCACTCAGTTCTGGGTATTTAGCCAAGAGAAGAGGAAGAGGAAGGGGGAAGGAGGGGAAAACAATGGGACTGCTGTTCTCATATACTTGAAGACTAGAATAAGAATCATAAGCATTCATGAAGAACTTTAAGATGTAAAAGAAAGCCCTTTACAAATTGTCCCATTTGAGCCTCACAAAAGGATAGTAGGTGCCATTGTCAAATCCATTTTGCAGATGAGGAAACTAAGGCAGACAGAAGGTAGGTGATTTGCCTAGGGTCACCCAGCTGGTAAGTGAATCCTGAGACAAGATTCAAACTCAGATCTTCCTAACCCATTCACTGTGCCATCTTCCTGAGCTAGTGAGCTCCCACTGGCAGAGGCTGGGCCACCAGCTTGTGGGGAATGTGGCAGGGAGGTCAGACAGGTGATCTCTGAGGTCCTTTCAGCACTGGGGTGACTCTCAGAAAGAGTCTGACATCATTGTGGGCCAGGGGAAGCTTCATGGAGGAGGGGTTGGACCTCAAAGTAGAGCTTCCTCTGCAGTCATCCTCATGCAGCAGCCCTGTGAGGCACAGAGTGCAGGGACGGTTGTCCCTACTCTACAGATGAGGAACTGAGCCACACACTTCACAGCTGCACCTCGGGGAAGCTCTCCGACTGAAGGGACCTTCTTTCTCCCCTTGCATCCCCAGGGTCTGACACCTAGTAGGTGATTAATAAGCACTTGTTGAATTGAATAAAGGACATCTTGGCAGATGGCAGAGTACAGATTTGAACCCAGGTCTCCCCACACCAAATCCCACATTCTGGTTGCTCAGCCATAGGCCTCTTAGGATTACAGGTTGGGGCAGTGACTGTTTGGGTGAGACAAGGTCCAAGGAAGGGAGCTGGCATACACAGGGCAGGAGAGGCCAGTTTGGCTGAAACATAGAGTATTTGGAAGGAAACCGCAGGTTGGAGCTAGATTTTGGTGAGCTTTGAATGCCAAAGCCAGGAGCTCCTATTTCAATAATAGGGAGTCAGGAACATTTTTGAGCAAAAGGGTAACAACATCAGTCACTCAGAGAAGAAGCATTCATTAAAACTCTCTCTGCTAAGTACAGAGGATCCAGCCCCCTCCCTTCAGGAATGCCGTTATTATGGGGGAGTAGGAGGTCCATAGACATGGACAGGAGCAAGGAGAAGACAGTCTGGGGGGAAGGCATTGGGGACACCCGGAAGCCTCTCCTGTGATCTGACTTGGGTCTTGGAGGGAAACAAGAAGCAGAAGTGAAGAGGGAGTGCACCTATCACCAAAACAGCCGGTCCACTAACAAGATAACCTTGGCATTCGAGCCCAGGGTGGGCTGGGAAGAGGAAGGGGAGAGTCCCGAGGCAGGGAGACCCAGTGGAAGGCTGCTCCAGTCGGAGACGCACGTGTCTGGGTGAGGAAAGAGGTAGTGAGGGTCAGGGACCCCTCCCTGATGCCAGAAGAAGCGAAGCCTCTGGGGAAAGGCCCGAGTACCCGGCCAGTGGAAGTCCCTCTCCCTTCCATCCTCAAGGCCCCTCGGAGCCCAGGCTGGAAGCGCTTGCGGACGGACAGTGCTCCAGCGGGGAGGGTGGACCAGAGGGGGCTGAAGACTGGCCCCAGCATCTGCCACCACGCCCCGGACAGGTGTAGGTGAGGAGGCGGGGCTGGCTTCCGCCTACACCTGGCAGACTGAAGAAGGGACGGCCCATGTAAAGCCCGACAGCTCTGGCCCCGCCACCTGCGCTCCCTTTGTCTGGCTGATGCCCATCCCGGGCCTCTCCTCTCTCTGCACCGGTTCATGAGCTCAAGCTGGCGGGGCTGAGCACCCCGCCAAGGGCCAAGAGCCCTGCTGACCACCCCGCCAAGGGTCAGGGCTTGGCTGGACCTTGGGAATGGATTGGGCACCACTGACCTCGTGGTCGCACCACTGACCTCGTGGTCAATGGCTGGCGGCCCCCAAGCCCAACCTGGCCGGGTGGCCCCCCAACCCCCGGGCTCGGAGCAATTTGCTGGGCATGAAGGACCCTCCCCCGAATTGGAGCTTTGGGGTGCGCTCGTGGCGCCTGCTTCCATTCAGTCCACTCCTAGGAACAGCGATGGGGCGCCTGCTGGGTGCGGGGCGTCGGGGCAGCAGCCGGAGCCCCGCGGGCGGGGTGGGACGGGGCGGGCCGGCCAAAGGCCGGGACCCAAAGAGAAGGGCAGAAAGGAAAGGTCCCCTAGGTACTGCAGTGTTGGCAATAGCGCTGTGCGTCCCGACCTCCCTCGGCAGGGGGTCACGTAATTTTCCACTGTCCGCACCAGTAGGAGCGCCTGGGCACGGTCTGGGGGCGGGGCCCAAATCTAGGGGCGGGACCGTGGGCGGGGCCTGGAGCCAAGGGAGTGCGGGGTTGGGGCGGGGCCTGGAGCTAGGGGCGTGGCCCAGTGGGGCGGAAGCAGGTCCGGGCTTTGCCCCGACTCTCGAGCGACGGGCAGGGAAATAGGAAGTGGGCGTACTCAGAGGGGCGTCGCGGGGAGGGCGCGCATGCTCGATGACCTTTTCAGGCCCACTCGGCTTCCGTAGTGGGCCGTGCGCGTGCGCAGAGGCCCCGCCGAGGCGGCCGGGGCTAGAGGGAAGCTCAGGCTGTGGAGCCGCGTCGGATCACCTGCGCCAGGTGAGCCCGGGCGGACTGTGGCGGCGCCCCGAGGAGCTTCAGGGTCGGGCCGGCTGCTCCGATGGGCATCCGGAGAGCCTTCCGGAGCCGGCGCTGGGGGGAGGTGGCGAGAGTGGTGCGCGGCGCCTCCCCAGCCCGAGCTCCCCCGTCTCCCGACTCCTGGTTTTCTCGGGCCCGATGCCTTCCCCTCGGCTTTGAACTTGAGTAAACGCTCCGCCGGGGAGGGGGCTAGGCCTGGAGTCAGCACTTAGGAAGCGCCTGATGTGTGTCTGCACCCGGGGAGGTTCCCGGGAGCCGGGGCCGGGGTCGTCGAGCCCCGAAGGGCTCTTTGAACCGTTTGTGTGCGGGGGCCACTCTGACCGCCTCCTTGTCGTCTGCCCAGGCTTCCCACAGGACCCCTCCCGGAAGCCAGCACTTGCCTGCCTGGGTCGTTGAGCCCCGAAGGGCTCTTTGAGCGGTGGTCGAGGTCGCTGGGAAGTGGCTGGTGGTGTGGGGAGGGAGCGGGTTGTGTGGGAGGGCCATTCTGACCTCCTGCTTGTGTTCTGCCCAGGATTCCCACAGGACGCCGCCCAGAGGCCAGCCAGCATGAGCGGCTCCAAGCCGGACATCCTGTGGGCCCCACACCAGGTGGACAGGTTCGTGGTGTGTGACTCGGAGCTGAGCCTGTATCAGGTGGAGCCGGCCGGCAGCTCGGAGCTCAAGGCGGGCTCCTTGAGGCTGTCGGAGGACACGGCAGCCACCTTGCTGTCCATCAACTCGGACACCCCCTACATGAAATGCGTGGCCTGGTACCTGAGCTACGACCCCGAGTGTCTGCTGGCCGTGGGCCAGGCCAACGGCCGCGTGGTCCTCACCAGCCTGGGCCAGGACCCCAACTCCAAGTTCAAGGATTTGATAGGAAAGGAATTTGTCCCCAAACATGCACGGCAGTGCAACACCCTGGCCTGGAACCCGCTGGACAGTAACTGGCTGGCTGCCGGCTTAGACAAGCATCGGGCCGATTTCTCCGTGCTCATCTGGGACGTCTGTAGCAAGTACAGCCCAGAAGCCACGGTTCCTTTGGAGAAAGTCAGGCCCTCAGCCGGAGACGCGGAGGCCGGGCTGGTGGTGACAAAGCCCCTTTATGAGCTGGGGCAGAACGATGCTTGTCTGTCTCTTTGCTGGCTGCCCCGAGACCAGAAGCTGCTGCTTGCCGGCATGCACAGGAACCTGGCCATCTTTGACCTTCGCAACACAAGCCAGAAGATGTTTGTGAACACCAAAGCTGTCCAGGGAGTGATGGTGGACCCCCACTTCCACGACCGCGTGGCTTCTTTCTACGAAGGCCAGGTGGCCATCTGGGACCTTCGGAAGTTTGAGAAGCCCGTCCTGACCCTGACGGAGCAGCCCAAGCCTCTCACCAAAGTTGCCTGGTGCCCCACGAGGACGGGGCTGCTGGCCACGCTCACCAGGGACAGTGACATCATCCGGCTGTATGACATGCAGCACACGCCCACGCCCATTGGCGACGAGACAGAGCCGACCATCATCGAGCGCAGCGTGCAGCCCTGTGACAATTACATCGCCTCCTTCGCCTGGCATCCCACCAGCCAGAATCGCATGATCGTGGTGACGCCCAACCGGATCCTGTCTGACTTCACCGTGTTTGAACGGATCTCCCTCGCCTGGAGTCCGGTCACCTCCTTGATGTGGGCCTGTGGCCGTCACCTCTATGAGTGCACCGAAGAGGGACGTGATCCTTCCTTGGAAAAGGACATTGCCACCAAGATGCGCCTCCGCGCTTTGTCCCGCTATGGCCTTGATACCGAGCAGGTCTGGAGAAACCACGTGCTAGCTGGAAATGAAGACCCTCAGCTGAAATCCCTCTGGTATACGCTGTACTATATCCTTTGAAACAAGTGCCGGCGGAGACTGGCAGTTGGCGTCTAGAGAAGCGCCCTGTGTCTGGTGGGCAGGGGCCTCACCTGCTGCCTTCGAGGAGGCTGGGACGCGCAATACTGCTTTTAGTGTACGGGAGGGAGAGGGCCTTGACAAGGCCTTAGTGTGGCCTTAGCCCTGACACTAGTTCTGTCTTGATTGGCCCTCATTCAAAAGGAAGCTTCTCCTAAGCCAGCCTTAGTATTTCCTATGCATTTCAATACTTATGAAGCAGTATACAGAAGATTTGGACCCGAAATCTCCAGGCCACAAAGGGTCACTGGTTTATGCGGGCATTAAAACCATCGTGAAATCATCTTTGGGTAAGGACACGCTTATTTAATCATCTTGGAATATTCTTTAGACATTGGGATTTTGACTTAGCTATTTTAGTAAATGATGCTAAGTTAAAAATTTGGCTAGGATTTCTTCCAAAATAGCTTTTTTTGGGGGTGGGGGGGAGTGGCTGGCTAGTGGGTCACTCCTCCAGCTTGATGAGCACTGAAAAGCTCCCTCCTTGGTGACTGGCCTTGCTGAGAGAGCCCCCCCCCCCGAGGGCAGGCATTCTCCTGAGCTCTCTGCCCGCCCCCTCCTTCACCCTGTTGGCCATCAGGGCAGAGCCTAACACAGGAGAGTGGTTTGCCACGTGAGAATTTTAAAATCATTTTTCTTTTGTATGAAGAAAAGAATGAGGCCTTTCATTTAATCCTAACTTAGGATTTAGCCTTTATAAAGAGAGGCAGTGTGTCAGTGCACAGAGAAGCAGGGAGTTCTGGGTTCAAATCCTGCTCCTGACACATGATGACTGTGTGACCCTGACCAGGTGTCCTCACTTCTCCCTGCCCCCAGGGGTGAGGGAAGCTTCCTAGCTGGCTTATTTATTTAATTTTTTACTTCAGTGAAATAACAAGTTTGTCTTATTTTCCAACAGCAGTCCCTCCCCCTCCCCATGCCCATGTGACTTCACCCCAGAAGGGGCTGATGGCTCCCTTAGGCAGACCCAAGGACTCTGTGAGGCTACCGAAGTGCCAGGCTCTTAGGGTGCTGGAATCTCGTCCTCAGCCAGCAGGTGGTGGCTGTCATCAGAGGTCCAGGCGGCCTCATGATAAGACCATTCCCCACCCCCTAATGACAGGGCTGCCCAGGGTTCCAAACCTCTAATAAAGAGGCTGACATGTGCAGCCTCGGAGGGTTTTAAGTTATATGAAAGTGCTCACTATGCGTCTTGAAGAGGCCGGGTGTCTAATGTGGGCGCCTCCCCATCTCACCTTGCTCTTTACCCTGGCCTGGCCTTGCCTGGCCTGGCAGGGGTCGCCGTGGAAGAGCTTACAGCTTCCCTGTTCTGGCCTAGTTACTTGAACATGTGTCAGCATCTGACTGTTCACAGATGAGCTCCTCAGGCACATCTTCCCCCTCAGCTCGCACCTAGCAGAGAGCTCCCTCTCAGCTGGTCACTGCTGCCCACCAGGCACACCCTGACAGCAGTGCCCATCCTCTCCTAGGCATGGCAGAGGGTGGCAGCAGACACAGCTGGAGTGGGGCGTCCGAGAAGCCGAGTGAGGGACCGAGTCTGAGTGAAGAGAGAATCTTGGCCTTACAGCTCTGTGGCTGGATCAGCAAGGGGACAGATGTGGATGTGGGACCCTTCCTCAACTCCCTCGTGCAGGAGGGGGAATGGGAGCGAGCCGCCGCTGTGGCCTTGTTCAACCTGGACATCCGGCGCGCTATCCAGATCCTGAACGAAGGGGCCTCTTCTGAGAAAGGTGCCAGGGCATGGGTCACGAGGGGAAGGGGATCAGCACAGTCTGAACATGATCCAAGGGCCATCCTGGAGTTCTCAGACTGCTGGGAGGGAGGTGGGAGAACGAAGGCGTTGTGTCTTACTCGGGGCTGTGGGGGTCTGAGAGCGAGAAGGAGCAGAAGGAAGTGTGAGGGCACAGAGCCACAGGGAGAAAGGAGTTCAGACTCGGGAGGAGAGACTGACTTATGTGGCAGAGAGAGCAATGGGGAGCCAGGGAGGGATGCAGCCTGAGGGAGAGAACGACCCTAGAGCTTAATTTTAGAAAGGCCTTTGTTAGCCGACACTGCTGATGGCTTCTGATGAGCCCCAGGCAGGTGGAGCTGGGGCCCCCAGGGCCTCCCTGAGGACGCCCAGAGGGTGGTTCTGAGGTTGGCCTCCCTTTAGGGTATTTTTGTGGTGGTGCCTTCCCTGGGACATCGTCTGTGATAAAGCCCAGCGGGCTGACCGTGCCTCCTCCTCTATGGGGCTGCTTCTGATCTGTAGGCGACCTGAATCTCAACGTGGTAGCCATGGCGTTGTCGGGGTACACGGATGAGAAGAACTCCCTGTGGAGGGAGATGTGCAGCACTCTGCGGTTACAGCTCAGTGACCCCTACCTCTGTGTCATGTTTGCCTTCCTGACAAGCGAGCCCGGCTCTTACGACGGTGTCTTGGTGAGCTCCTTACAGCTCTGCTCCAGCCTCCTCTTCCCTGCTGGAGATCCCGGGGCCTGGTGCTGTTCCCTGTGGGGGTTGCCCCTTCATTTGTCACTCTTCTTTGGTGGGGTGGGTGTCCAGCCTGGAGCTAGCTTCCTGCAGCCCCAAGACTCTTAAAAAATGGTGCCCATCACATGGTGGTGGGTCTTATGTGCCCAGCTGGACTTGTCTCATGCCAGTGACCCAGTCTGTGCACCTAGAGGAATCAAGACTAGCTCCCGTAGCCAGGGGATGCTGGGGGGCCCAGCATCTTCTCAGGTCCATGCCAGAGGCTGGCGGGCCACTGCTCAAGCCCACCCCCCATGAGGGCCCCCAGAAGTCTCCTGCAGCTCTTCTCAACTTAGCGCCCCCCAGAAGGGACAAATAGGCCTTTATTAAGTGCCTACAATGTGGGAAGTCCAGCATCTACACAAAAAGCAAAGACCTGGGGCCGGGGCCTCTTTTGCCCCGACTCATTTTCCAGGCGAGCAGAATCTGAACGTTCCTCTGCCTCTTTGGACGGTCCTTGCCCCCCTTGCGATTTGGAGGGAGCCAGGCTGAATAGGGTATCTGCTGTCTCATTTGTGCAGTGGTCTTCTCAGAATAGGAGGTGTCAGAGCAGTAGAGTGAAGATGGCCCTGCATTCCCATTTCGGGGACAGAGGGTCCTCTTGACTTGGCCCCAGAGCAGCCCTTGCCTGTCTCTCCCTCAGCCTGGTGACGTCTCACCTCTGACAGGGGCCTTTTGACCCTAGGCACTTGCTCCCTCTAAGCCTTAGTTTCCACACCTGCAAACTGGGCATGAATAATACCTGTGGTGACAGTATCTCCCAGGGTGACCATAAGGCTCCTCAGAGGACATGTCTTTAAAAGGCTTTCGAAACTCTGAAGAACCTTGATCACTTACTGCCATCTATAAAGTGAGGAAGGTACCACTTTGAATAATGTTTAAAGCATGTTGGATAAGCCTCCTCTGCTAGTGTTGGGGGAGACATGGAGGAGAATGTGCTGGCCAGGCCGGCAGGAATGGGCTGCCGTCTCCTTGGGAGATAGATAATGCTCGCATCGAGGAGGTCTGCAGTCAGTGGGGCGCCTGAGCGCTCGAAGACACTGCTCTGACATTTCTCCTCAGGATGCCAATATCTAAAGGAAGTCTATCTTTACACCTGGCTCCTGGTGTTTCTGATGAATGTTTAGCCCCAGATCTGTTAATCAATTCACAGATTTTTTAAGGAGTTCCCAAGCCATTGTTGAACTGGGGCTGCTAGGATATTGTCTAAAAGTAGTATTTTGGGGCAGCTAGGTGGCGCAGTGGATAGAACACTGGCCCTGAAGTCAGGAGGACCTGAGTTCAAATCCGGCCTTAGACCAAACACTTGACACTTACTAGCTGTGTGATCCTGAGCAAGTCACTTAACCCTAATTGCCTAAAAAAAAAATAGAAAAATAAAAGTAGTATTTCTACTGGGCAGTTGATTATCACACCGTGCCTCAAGCATCGTGTGTTGCCAGGATGATTCCCTTGTGCTGTTTGGTGGGATTCAGTGTAGTATGTTTGGCTCCAGGACCCTGGCGACTGGTGCCCCTAGAGGATGTGGGAGGAGAAGGTCTGTCCTCTTGCTTCAGCGGGTGGCCCTTGTAAAGTTGTGATACGAACGGGACGGCGTGGCCCTCCAGAGGTCGGTCACTGAGTAACGGCTCCCTTTTTCTTCTCAGTATGAGAACAAAGTGGCGGTGCGAGACCGGGTGGCGTTTGCCTGCAAATTCCTCAGCGATGCTCAGGTGAGGCCTTGTTAAAGGGTGCGGCTTGTCTGTGCTGGAGACCTGTGGCACAGAGTCGCTGTTTCAGGGCACTTTGTGAGGAATTCTCCCCAAATGCAAAGCGGCCTGCACTAGAGTGAGACGTCTGTAACGGGCGGTGCTGCTCATCAGTCCAGGCCTTCAGAGTGTTTTAGACGGTACCTAGTTGGCCTTCATGCTGTGCGTAATCATGGTGTATGGAATGGAAGCAGAACCCTGGGCTGGGATTCTGAGGACCTGGCTTCTGCTTTGCTCTGCTGCTCATGAGCTCCGGAAACATCTTGAAGTCATTCACTTCAATGGTCCTCAGTTTGTCCTCCTGAAAAATGGAGGTGTTAGACTAGATGGTGTGGCTTTGTCCAGCTCTGGGTTATGTTCTCTAGACTCTTGCTTTTAGACCCGTTTTCCTTTTTTTCCAGCTAGCTTCATACTTTACTTTCCCTTGAATTAACAGGCTGCCCCACCTTATTGCCAGAGTTATGTTTTCTAGATGCCCCTAGTGCCTAGGGTGTAGCTTGGTCTGGCTGACTGCCTCTGTTGGTACTGTGAGTGCGGACACTTGGTCGGCTGTAGAGCCAAGTAAAGTTGGTCTGCCTTCTAAAGAGTGTTTAAACCGAATCTCAGATACTTTCCAAATGGTCTTCCAAGCACCCTCTCCATGGATGTGGGCCCAGTTGTAGATCCTATAGCACGAGGCCAGAGTAGGCCTCAATCCTCTCCAGATCATTTGTTCAGAACAGATTGAAGTTCTAAGAGGAGACTGTCCAGTGGGACTGCCATTGTTAGACAAAATTAATGAAAAATAACTCTTGAACTTTCTAGTTGAACAGATACATTGAAAAGCTGACCAATGAAATGAAAGAGGCCGGAAATCTAGAAGGAATCTTGCTGACGGGTCTAACAAAGGATGGAGTCGATTTAATGGAAAGTTATGTTGATAGAACTGGAGATGTCCAGACTGCAAGCTACTGTATGCTACAGGTCAGTGTAGTGACCCGGCTGCAGAAAGCTTTTATACTTGCTGCCTTGCACCTGGGGACTTGTCCTCCTACATTGGGAAGAATATGGTGGACACTCACTAGATCTTCATTGTGTTCACTTTGACTTGTTTCTTTGTCAGATCATGCCAACCAAAACAGAGCTTTTCATTGGAGTTGAAGCCAAGAAATGCTTCAGTATATTTTAAAGCAATTCAAATACTAATGCTTGTTTTTCCTTTGTTAGGGTTCTCCATTAGACGTACTTAAAGATGAGAGGGTCCAGTATTGGATTGAAAACTACAGGAATTTGCTAGACGCATGGCGCTTCTGGCACAAGCGAGCAGAATTTGACATTCACAGGAGTAAACTGGATCCCAGTTCCAAGCCTTTAGCACAGGTAAATGACAAGCAGTTTTGACAGAATATCATTTGAAAGTATATCTAATATTGCAACCGAAGAAACATGGGCTCATACTAGAAATTAAGGATAAGGTTAAAGAGTTACAACAACAATACCATTTTTGCTAATGGCTGCTTCATCCTCTAATGCTTGTCCTGAGTCCTGCTGACTTTTCCTAGATTGTTTATCTGCATGGCCTTGTTTTCTGGTCTTGTTACTTGGCTAGCAATAGTCTTATCAATCGGGACTGTCCTCTAACAAAGTGGGATGCTTTAAAGAAAATGGCTCTGAATCCTACTGCCAGCTTCATTCACATTTATCAGCTTGCCTATCCTTGGCCTACCCAGGAGTGGCAGGTCCAGGATTTAGGGATTTATGTGGCCCAGAACCACTTGGGAAGGTACAGCTAGGTCTTTGGGTTTGGTTCTGGAAGTTCTTAAAGAGATGAGGTCAGTGCTGAGCCTGGCTGGATGTATTCTGAGCCCTCTCATGATTAGATTATCCCCAGGGGAAGATTTTGTCCAGGATATTGAAATACTCAGGAAGGAAAGACTTATGAGAAAAGCAGAGGCTGGCTATTTGTCTACCTTTATGAGATAATGTGAGGCACCACTTGGCAGAGGGGAGGGAGAGCCAGCCTCAGAGTCAGGAGACCTCCATTCACATCCTGCCTCTGATGCATACTGGCTTTGGGACCTGAGGTGTCTCTCTAAGATTATAATCTGCAGAGAAGGTGCCCACCTTCATTGGGACAGGGAGTGTCCTCACTGAGAGTTCCTTATATCAACAAAATCACAAGTTTGGCCCCTACCCATTTTTCTTTTTTCTTCTTTCTTTAATTTTTTAAAATAAGTTTTTATGATGTCTTCTGGCTCTTCTGGCTCTTATTCCCAGCATCCCTCCTGCTCCCTCTCCCAATGATCCATCCCACATGAAGTATATTTTTTAGAGACGAAATGAAAATCAGCACCGTGTGCTGTGTCATTGCACCTTTGGGCCCCACCACTCTTCTCATTTCTCTGTTTTGTTACATTCGTTTTTGATCTGGGGACTGTGTGGTTGTTTCCATTTCCATGGTTGTGGTTACTGTGTCTGGTAAAATTTTCTTGGCTCTACTGACTTCACTCTGCACTGTGTCATAGAGATCTTTGCAGGCTTCTTTGTATTCACCACATGCATCCTTTCTTACAGCACGGTAGTTTTCGATTCTGTTCATGTAGCACCATGTGTTTGGCCATTCCCCGATATCACAAAAAGTGCTGCCATAAATATTTTGGTGTATATGGGGATGCTTTTCTTATCAGTGACTTCCTTGGGCAGAAGCCCAGTAATGGAATCTCTGGATCAGGAGTATGAACATCTTAGTCACTCTACTGTCATAATCCCAAATAGTTGTGTTACTTCACAGCCCTGCCAGTCATGTATTAGTATGCCTTTGACCGTTGCCACTTTTTGTCACTTTTGCCAATTTGGAAGGTGGGAGACAAATCACAGGGTTGTTTTGATTTGCATTTCTCTTATTGTTAGTACTCTGGCGCATTTTAGCATTGATTTGAAAAGATCAGCTTACTCTGTAATGCTCTGGATTAAAGCCATTACTTATATCTTGGACACTCCCATCCCCTCTCCCAAATCTGGAAAATATCACCTCCTAAAGGGCATTTCTTCCTTATGACCCCAGGAGCGTTTCATGCCCTCATGTCTGCGGAAGTGCAGCAATCTGCAGCCCGTCTCCCGCCAGGAGAGGTGGCATCTGCCCAGGCTGAGCACAGCCCCCAATCCGCCAGAATGCCCACCTTTTCTCGCTCACTCAGCAGCTCTCCCAAGCGGGCATTTTGAGTCCCCAGCAGGTTGCACACTCAGAGCGCACACCCAGGGCTCTGTTGACTTTACTTAAACTGTAGGAAGAGTCAGCTGCCTCTTCCCTGGGCCTCCCTCTCTGGTCTTAGCTGGAGCAGTGGGTGATGGGTGCAGGATCTCAGGCTGGCACCCGGCGACGAAAACCATGAGCCTGATGGGAGCCGTTTCTTTGACAGGTGTTTGTGAGCTGCAACTTCTGCGGAAAGTCCATCTCCTACAGCTGCTCGGCTGTGCCCCACCAGGGCCGGGGCTTCAGCCAGTACGGCGTGAGCGGCTCCCCGACCAAATCCAAAGTCACCAGCTGCCCCGGCTGTCGGAAGCCCCTCCCCCGATGCGCGCTCTGCCTCATCAACATGGGCACGCCCGTTTCTAGCTGCCCAGGTAGGTCTGGAAGCCGAGGAAGCCCTTGGCAGTTCCGGCGATTACTTCACTTTATTTTCATTTATTTATTATTTTAAACGTTTTTATTTTAAGTCTTGAGTTCCAAATTCCCCCTCTCCCTCCCCCTCCCTGAGACAGTAAGCAGTCAGATGTAGGTTATCCAGATGGAGTTATGCAAAACATTTCCATGTTAGTCATTTGGTCCAAGAAGACTTAGATAAAAGGAAACAATGAAAGAAAGAAAGTGAAAACTAGCTGTATTCAAGCAGTGTGAGCTCCTTCTCTGGAGGCCATCCTTTGGGATGGTCTTAGAGCAAGGCACCCTCTGACCAGGGTTGCACCATTCCCAGTTCTTCATCAAATAACGGGGTCCTTACAGGGTTACAGGGATGTTCAGGCGCTTTGTTTGCTACATGGTGCTCCACTGAGGTCAGATTGGGAATATTCAGAATGATGTCCACATGAATGAACAAAGCGTGTATTAAGTGCCTGCTGTGTGTAAAGCACCGGGGACACAAGCGCAGCAGTGAGGCCGTCCCTGGTGTATGGGAGGGACCCCCTCCATGCTGTGGGAAGGCGTCCCAGAGGCTTTGAGGGCAGCGCAGAGCAGGCAGGCAGGGTCAGGACAGCCGAGCTAAGGATGGCACCTCCTGTCCAGGCTCCCGGGCCCCAGGCCGCATCTCCACAGGATGCTGGCCACGGCCCTGGCCTGGCCGCGTGTCCATCCTCTAGGTGGCGTGTAACTGAGACTTCCGTCTCTCCTTTTAGGCCTGCCCTCTGCTCACAGGGGTTGGTAATGGGAATTTAAACCCTCCTGAGGCCAGGGGGCATTCAGTGGTGGTAAAATGAGCCTGTATCCTTGGTGCCTAGCACAGTGCCTGGCACCTAGGAGACGCTTTAAAAAAACTCAGTAACTGACTGACTGTCAACTTGTGAAACTTGTGAAAAGTGTGGGCACTGTCCCCCATCAGCCGGCCTGGGCCCTGTGGGTAATGCTTTTACAGGTGGTGGTGCGCCTGCAGTGAAGTGTCCTGCCACACTAATGGAAGGCCTTCCTTTCACAGGAGGATCCAAGTCAGACGAGAAAGTGGACCTGAGCAAGGACAAGAAGCTGGCCCAGTTCAATAACTGGTTCACGTGGTGCCACAACTGCCGGCACGGTGGCCACGCCGGCCACATGCTCAGCTGGTTCAGGTATGCCACCTGGATGCCGTGGCTCCTGAGAGCACGACCAGATTCCTGCGTTGTGGGGAACCTAAGTGTGAATGAAAATGCAGCCAAACTGAGTCCGTGGTCCTCCGGTGCCGGTCAGTGGCTGTGGTTTCTATTTGACCTTGACACCGCTAGGCAGATAACCCAGAACTGAGTCAGTTACCAGAGAAATGGCTGAATTTCTGAAGGATTTCATTTTTGACCCAATGCCTTGGGGGGGGTTCCCCATGGATTATTAACTTGTGAAGAATCGCTTGGCCTGTTGCACAGCTTGGAAGAACTCTGGGTAGTCGAGCAGTTTTTGCCTTTGCCCATAACCCCCTGCTATACTGGTATCTCATATGGATCCACGTTGTTAGATCTGCCATATCCCTGGCTGTCACTTGAACTGAACACATGAAGGTGTTTTTTTCTACTCTGAGTGAGGCCCAGTAGCCAAAAAACCTTTCAAGAAAAACCTAGCTCGAGCCCTTTGGAAGGAAGAGCAGTCTCCTCGCCTTCTCTCAGTGATCCCCCATTTCAGCTTGAAGTCCTTGACGTTCTGGGGCGTCTTGCTTTGGGTTTCTTTCTCGCTTAATCCAAAGACTTTTAATAGAGTTGGGGAGACAGCGAATATGAGGGTGAGCTGTCTCTTTCGTTGGCTGGTTTTCTAACTCTGCCTTTGCCTCTGTCTAGGGACCATGCTGAGTGTCCTGTGTCCGCATGTTCCTGTAAGTGTATGCAGTTGGATACAACGGGGAATCTTGTCCCGGCAGAGACTGTGCAGCCCTAGCTGGGAACCCTTCAAGGGAATGGCTTTCTGGCAGGGCCCTCCACAGATCCATGTCCCCCACTCATCAGCTTTGCCTCCCAGCCCTCGGATGGCCGCGTGGGATTGGGCTGCTTCGCAGACCCTCCTGAGGTGGGTGAGCAGCCTGTGTCCTCAGGGGTAGTCATTCACTGGCCAGAGCAGTTGTTTTAGAAATTCTGGTAGAAATCCGGAATGCCTTCTGGTCAACCTGTCTGGGAAAGCAGGAAGTATTTTGTTAAGACATAGACTCTCAGACGTGGGATTCACCCCGTGTTTCAGAAGATGGGGCTAAATCCCTCACTGAAAGTGGCGGGTGAATCTCTGGGCAAGTCTGGTTCCTTCTTCTCCCTTGTCACCAGCCCCTGCCCCACATGTGCCACTGCAGAAAAGGAGTGAAGGTACCAGTGGACGAGGGGTTTGTGTTCACAAGGGCCTCCTCTCCCTCAACCACAATTACCATTCAGTCACACGTTTTCATCGTAAGACGACGAACGTTATATGGTGTTGGCCATCAGTTTACGAGAGGGCGCTAGAGAACCCCACATGAACACATAGCCCCAAACTTAACTTCTCTGCGTGAGAACACACATTTCTGACATGCCAGTCGTCAGACGTGAGTGTTGCCTCTCCAGCTTGATGGACTTGGATTCCACAGCTTCCCTCTATCCATGGTCATAATGGAAGGCCCAGGACAGCCCTGGAGCCAGCTTCTGACCTTCCCCCACCAGGCCCCCCAGGTCTTCTCCAGACACTGACACCATAGAGGAGAAACCTGGCTCTTCTGCTTTCATCAGTCCTCGTCTGGGGGAAGATTTTCTTCTGGGTGTTGACGCCTGCAAATGTGCTTCCTATTCAGGCCGTGCCAGGGCCTGGGAATCCATCTGACTGAGTGCAGTGGTTTGGTTTCTTCTGCATTTGTGTGTGTGGAGGGGGAATGGACGTGGGGAATCGGCTGAACGAGGCTTTACTGAACACTTTGCTCAGAGCCAAGGCCCGGCCCGTCACCGCCGGACATCAAGCGTGATGGAATGGAGAATCTCAGACTGACCGTTAGGGTTGTCGTTGCAGGTTGGGTGGCTTCAGAAACCGGGCAGTGAGCCAGAGGTGCTTGGAGATGTGCTGGGGAGGTGAGGGTGTGGGCTTTGGGCCGGGGCAGCAGGTGGAGAGGAGCCTGCCGTGTGCTGATGCTTCTGCCCACCGAGGCGATGTTGGGACCTCAGGTGGTGGATATTTATGGTTTTTGTACAAAAGTGGTTTTGTTAATAAAGAGGATGTTGTTTTATTCAGGCTCCACATCAGAGGAAGTTGCACTGGTTTCACGTCAGGAGGGAAGCCCCTTTTCTCCAACTGCTTCAGAAAGACCATTTTAGGGCACGTTGGGTGCAGAGCTCCTGCTGAACACGGGCAGAAACCCGGCTGCAAAAGGAGTGGCAGCTGACACCCCGGTATTTGTTGTAGAGGAAGAAGTGGTAGAGGAATTCCAGAGGGGATGCAGAAGCTGCTCTGAATTAAATCAGCACGAACTTTGTGAGGAGGGAGAAATGGAAGGTCTGGCTCAGGACTGAAGGAATGGGAGAGGCCCCTGCTGGGCTCCTGAACGCTTCTGTGAAGGAGGCTGAGGGCCTGGACATGGCGCCAGAGAGCCTCGGAAAAGGGGGAAATGGGTTCTAACAGGAAGGTAGAAAAGGGCTCTTTATCGAGGAAGGCATTCTCTAATCAGCGGGATACCCTCACGCTACCCACTCCTGGGGTGAAAGTAGAAATGAAGACAGAGCTAGAAAGAATAAAAACTAGGAAAGGGCATGCAGCTACAACCATTCCAGCCTGACCTTGAGACAAAGTATGCTGGGAGGTGGGGAGGATAAAGGACGCCTCCGATTTCCAACACCCTTGAGTAGAGTTTAGCTGATCAGAATTGGCTGTGTCGCTCGGGAGATCCAGAGAGCCTAAAACCCCACTTGGTAACAAGTGGACTTGAACAGGGGGCAGAGAAGGTAAATTGGCCCAAGAAACACCAGAGAGGCGTGTGGTGGGCAGGGGCCGCCTGCCTGCAGGAGCCAAGTCAAGGGTGGCCAAGATGGGCCAGGTCCTATAGTGCCAGCAAGAGCAGTGACCCCCTGGGGCAGATGTGGGATGCCCCCAGCCACCAGGGCCATGTTGGAAAGGGTCAAGGAACAGCTGGCCAGAATAACACTTCCTTTGCTGGTTGAGTTTCCTGGTGTAACCTTAACCCTTCTGGGTGGGGAGGGATTCTGTAATAAGACATAAGGTAAACCTTTCTGGCTCGTGGTTCAGTTTTTCAGTTGTGTCTGACTCTTCATGACCCCATTTGAGGTTTTCTTGGCAAAGGTACTGGAGCTGTTTGCCATTTCCTCCTCCAGCTCATTTTACAGATGAAGAAATTGAGGCAAACAGGTAAAGTGACTTGCCCAGGGTCACACAGCTAGTGTCTGAATACAGATTTGAACCCAAGCAGATGAGTCTTCCCGACTCTAGGCCTGGTCCTCTGTGCACAGCACTACCCAGCTCGTATAAACAATGTGCTGCTTGTAATTTGGATTAAATGCTTAGTTGTATTAGCCATGAGGCAATAATCCATTCTTGCCTGAGGCTACAACATGAGGTTTGAGAGGGCTGAGCTAATCCTTCATCACTCAGTGTGGGCCATTTAAACATGGCTACTTTCACTTCCTGGTCGGGCTGCGGGTAGGTGGAAGAGGTTTGGATGTGCCCAGTAGAGGCAATTGGGTGAGTGTGGTTTGGGCATTGGGTAAGCCTGTGCCAAGACCCAGTGTCTTAACCAGGCGTCATCTAGGCCCAGCTATGTGTTTGCACCATCTAGAATGAGGCTAACCTTGAGAGAAGGAGGGCAAGCAGAGTGTGCTCATGCCCAAGCTGGCCGAGGGGGAGTGGGGGGTGCAGGAGGAGAGGGGGCAGAGAAACAGACCTTTATCCCTCCAGCAAAACCCAGTTCAGTCCTGGAATTCTCAACCTTAAAATCGATGATTAGCTTTGGAAACGCTAAGATTTGTGTTGTGAGCCTGATACATCGGGGAGCATTAGGAAAGGAAACGCAGCTCTTGTATCTAACAGGACGGCTCTGCTTGAAATCCCACTGCCAGCCGTGGCCCGGAGCCACAAAACAGGGAACCGAGTCATCTCCACATGGAACTCCTATTTCAAATACACAAAACCGAGGTGTGGCCAAGAACTTGGCGTGGATTTTTAAAGCACACAACTTGCTCCGATTCACCAATGGGTAAAACAAAGTTAAGGAAGCATCTACTGTGTGCTCAGCACCACACTAGAGTCTGGGGTAGGACAGAGAACGAAGTAATTCCTACTTACAAGGGGAGGCCACAAAGGCCTATCTACATGTACACGGGCAGCACAGTGAATGGAAATCCCGCGCGGGACGCGGGAAGACCACGTTCCAGTCCTCTGCCAGATGCGTGCCAGCTGGCTGAGTGTGGGCGAGTCACTTCAGCTCTACTTGCCTCAGTTTGCTCATCTATAAAATAGGGATAACAAAACCACCTCTGTCCCAGTATGTGGTGAGGACCAAATGGCACGATGCCTGTAAAGCACTTACCACGGTGCCTGGCACATAGTAGGTACTGTACAAATGTGAGCTGTTCCTACAGTCATTAAAAAACGGGAGCTGGGGTGGGGGACCCTGGGAATTGAACTCAGGAGAGGCTGTGTCTGGGAGGAGGACAGGGAGGGGCCCTGTGAGGAGAGGACACACCTGGCTCAGCCCAATCAGCCCCCAGCCTAGGTCTCAGCATCAGCACAGAGGCCATTCTGGGAGACCCAGGTCAGGGATCAGTGGGGGGCAGGCCTTGCCCCTGACCGGCTGGGCACAGGATGGCTGGAGGCCGCCTCGGCCTCTGCCGTGCCAGCCTGGTGCTCTTCACGCATCTCTGGGACCGAGGTCACACTTATCATCTCTGACCCATCAAACCCCGGAAGCCAATTCCCTCCTCAGCCCCGACGTTTTAGAACAATATGCTTAATGTTCAGGTGGCCTGCTTGGATTTCCGATCTCTTGCACTCACTTCTGTGGGCCTGAAGGTGATGGAAGGCCTTGGAAGATGATGAAGCGGGCCCAGAGAGGAAGCTGCACAGGCAGATCTTAGAGCAGGGCTGAATCTGAACTTGGGTCTTTTGATTGGGGTGGCCACCAGGCTGAACTGGGGTCAAAGGTTCTGTGATGACCTGTGATGGAATGGGGCCCACAAGCAGATGCAACATTTCCAGCAAACCAGTCTGCCCCCAAAAATGCACTACTAAAATACCTAGGATTGTAATGGAAACCAAATATACTGAACAACAGTTTCAAAATGTTAAAAAGAAATTCATGGCCCCCAAGTGGAGGACCCCTGGGGGTTCTACAGCCTCCTCTGCCCTGGCTGGGAAGAGGACCCACATCCCACAAAGGGCCCAGGGCCAGTGACAAGCAGCTACCTGTCACCAAAGGCCGGCAATGTCCACCTCAGAACATCACCAGCTGAGATCTCCCTATCTCTCCCGTCCCTCATGATCTTCCCTTACAAACACAATGTGCTTTATTAGTTAGTGTCTGTGGAGCACATGAGGAAGAAAGGACAGAAACATTTAAGAGAACGTTTCCCTTCTGATCTTTGGACCTCTGGCCGTCCCACTTGTGATTCAGACTGTAGGATTCAGCAGGAACACTACAGGTTGTGATAAAACCACACCCAGGCTCCCTGTTAAGCATCACTGCTCCTTTTTTGGTGGGCCAGAGGAGAGGGCAGGGGGTGTTGCGGATCTTGGCAAGGGGATGTGGAGGCTCAAAGAAAGACTGGTGAAGATAAAAACCAAGCCTGGCCAGAGGCCTAATGCAGCTGATGAAGGACACACGTGGCTCCGGAGGGACACGGGGAGGCTTCTGGCCCCCCTCGGCCGGCCAAGGGAGCAATTCCATCCACCCACAAAGTGACTCCATTCAAAACTCTAGAGCACATAATTGTTCTTTATTAATAAAGCAGAATTGTTTGCCCAGGCGAAAGGACCCAAAGCTCACTTCATAAGACAGACTGACAGTCATTTGAGGCTGCCGCTGGGAGGCCACCAGGGCCTCAGTGTTCTGGGAGCTGCAGGCCAGGAGAGGCGCAGTGGCGGTCGGTGGGAGGAAGGCCAGTCAGAGACATCAGTCCTGCGGTGTGGCCCCAAATGGGTAATACTGCGGGAACTCATGGATGATTTTGAGAGCATCATTGTACAGCCTGAGGTCTAAGAGAAAGAAGGTTTCTGTCCACCATCTTGTGATGTTGACATCACGGATGAGGTCACTGGTCAGTTCTACCCACCCACTCTTTAGGAGTATGTCACTTAGTCTCCTGGGACTTTTAGTGTCAGGTTTGTCCCCCTGCCTGTCTGCGCCATCATCACCTTGCACCTTATACCAAGACCGAGCTCCAAATGGAAACGTGACCTACCCACAAATAAATCAGAAAAGCATGGCAGAAATGACCAATCAGAGCACTGGGCAGAAGAAAAGTTCAAGGCCAATCAAGGGATAAAATCGGACCACCAAGATGAAAAAAGATAAGATGAAAAGGGAAATCATTAACTGGAGAAAAAATCTTTGTACCCAATCTCTCTAAGACAGGTCTTGAAGAGGTATTTGTTTACACTTTCTAAGAACAAAACCATTCCCCTGTGATTAAATGGTTTATAATAGGAGCAGCCAGTCTCAAGAGAAACCGGGGCTCTCTACAGCCACAGGAAAAAATGCTCCAAGCCAGCCCCAATTCTCATCATCGTCAGACCAGTCAAGACAGCCCAAAAGAAGTGTGGTAAATGTGGGTGGGGCACCCGACGCAACGTGGAATCGGCACTGGCTGGGGAGCCCACTGGGTCGCTGCCAGGCCCGGACGCAGCCCTTCTGGTGACCCAAATGGGAACGTGGGTGGATCTCGCAGCGCCGTGCAGACCAAGGGAGCCAGGGTGCCAGAAGGGCGCAGCCCAGGCACCACACCGCCTGCTGCGGCTGAGCAAGGACCGTGTGCTCCTGCAGACGGGCTTGAGGGAAGGCCCGCATGTGGCAGCGTGGGAGTGGGAAGGAGAGAGGGCAGATTTCTAAGATGAGGTCACCAAGGTCACTGCACCGTCAAGGTAAAGCTCTCCCAGAGTGAGTGTAGGTAGTCTGCGAACGTCTGGAGGTAAAAACCCTTTCTAAAAAGGAATGGGCACGTTTGGCTGGAATGGAGAACAGGGAGGGGCAGTCGAGGTACTGAGGAGCCATGGAGGTTTCTTGAGGGTGCGTGTGTGAGACAAGGTCACCTTGGGAGCTGGGTGAAGGCTGGTGGGTCACAGAGCGCGGGGACACCAGGGCCGGGGGCAGGAGCCAAGGGGGGGGCCTGGACTCACCAAAGCTGTTGTTGTGGTCTCTGAACGGCACATAGGACGCACACAAGATGGTTGCCTTGGCTGTCACTCTGCCGACGACTTCCAGGATCCCAGAAATCTCCTCTTCGAGCTGACGAGGCAAACGAGACTCTGCTTGACCCCAAGTGCCCCCGGGTTCCCCAGAGAGGGTCTCCCTCACCTGGGACCGCTGACTGAACCGGGTGGGGGTCAGAGCCTTCCGCAGCTATGCCAGCAGCGGCCATGAGCCCAAGGTGAAGGCCTCTGCACGGACCCTCAGAGGCCACCGGGCCCCCCACGTAAGCAGGAGTGTTTTGGGGGGATGGAAAATGCGATTAAGCGCCTACTGTGTGCCAGGTGCTTAATCGCATTTTCCCGCTCTTGGAAGAGTGTGCTATGATGAGGCCCGTTTTACAGCTAAGGAGACTGAGGGAGATGGGACCCGTCCAGGGTCTGAGGCCGGATCTGAACGTCTGCTACTCTACCTCGGCACCCCGTGCCGCCCACGTTCACAACAGGTCCTATCCGCTAGCTGTGCCATCCACGGGCAGCTCCCTCCCGGGCAGGCGGACTGCCCAGCGCCTTGCTGCCATCCCAGTGTGACCAGCGGCTGGCATGGCCTCCACCCCTCCTCTGCACTCACCGGCTCCGCCAGCTCCACCGTGACCTGCTTGCCTTCTCCGTCAGAAAGGACGAAAGACTTCCCGCTGGGGTGGATCTGAAAGACAGCCGAGGGATCACGTCCAGACCAGCCCGGCCAGGGCCCTCAGGAAGCCCACCGGGGCCTCGTGTCCTGACCAAAGCAAGAGGGGACGGTCGGGGCTAAGGTGACCCCGAGTGCCCCTCCCCGGTCTGCCGGTCCAGCCTGCCACCCCTCTGCACCGGGGGGCCTTCTGGACGGGGGCCCTGGACGATGCCGGGCGGCCAGGACGGGCCAGGGAGAGGCCCTTGCCCACCTCCCTGGCGCAGCCTCCCGGAGACATCCCTTCCGGCCGGTGCCTAATCAATGCTGATGGAGTCTCAGAGTCTGCCCCTCTGGACCGCAGCCTCAGCCCCTAACCACCAGGAGAGCCTCCGGGCTCTGCACAAAGAGGGCTAAGCCCGGCTCCCATCATGCCCCGGAGGTATCACCGCTGCCCCCCACCCCTCCACTCTGACCGTCCGGGCTGACTTCGGGGCGCTGCACAGGCGGAGTCCAGCCTCGAGCATGTGCTCGCCCTCAAATGGAAGCTGACATTCTGCGGGGTCCCCGACAAGGGCTGGCTGTCCCCCAAGCCTCCTCCCCTCCGCCTCCAATGTCGAGGCCCAGCTCGGTTTTCCCTGCCTCGGGGAGCCCGTCCACACTCTCTTGTCCTGGGGTCCTGACAGTGACGCCGCCCGTGCGGGCGACCCCCGCCCCGCCTCGGCCTCCTCCTCCTCGGACAGAGCAGGGAAGTCCTTCCCCAAAGAAGCCAAGCTCTCGGGGCAGGGCTGGCTCCCCTTCTCCCGATCTGGCCCCTGCTACGGGCCCGGCCAGGGCGAGGTGCCGAGCCGGGAGCCACAGAAGCCGTGCCTGCAGCACCCAGCTAGGGCGGAGCGCGGTCCCTCCTCGGGGATGACGCGGGGAGGGTGGGGGAGCGGCCGCAGGGCAAGGGGGGGGAGGGAAGAGCTAGAGCCAGGGTCGGCCTCAGCGGAGGGTGGGGGATCTGAGCCTTAGGGGTGGGGGTCTCTGCCCCCCCTGGACACCCGCACCTTCTCCAGCCGCCCCACGAAGCACACGGGCCGGTCGATGAAGTGCGCCACATGCGCGGCTCCGATCCGCGTCCGCGGCAGCTCCAGCACCTCCGCCATGGCGGGAAAGGTGCCGGGGTCTGGGCCAGCCCGGGGCGGGACTTCCGGCTGCGGCGCCAACCCGGGCCGCGCCTGCCCGGAAGTTGGTCCCGCCTCCCCCACCGTCCACCGGAAGTCGGTGTTGGTTTCCTGGTGACGAACGGCGTCCCGGGGAAGTGCCTTGACGACCAAGGAGGGAGGGTGCGGGACCGGGTCGCGCCCCGGAAGTAGCCCTGAGGGGAAGGAGGCGGGACCGCGACAGGGCCAGGTACCGAGGTGCGGGGGCGGGCAGCGCGCCAGTGCGCGAAAGACTCCGAGAGTGGGAGCTGGCCGTGAGTGTTGGGCCCGCGCGCCCGCCTCAGTTTCCCCATCAGTAAAGAGGGACAGAGGCAGCGGGAGTGTTCACCGGCGTCCCCTGCGGCTAGGCCCCCACGGGGCCACTCTTAGAAGGGAGGAGTCCCTGGGACCCCGGACGAAGCGTGCCCCGCAGAGCGCCTGCAGAGGGGGGCCGACCCTTAACCCAGAGGATGCCGCAGCCCCGTTAGGACGCAAACTCCCTTGAGGGCAGGACGTGCGCCTGCAGAGGGGGGCGACCACTCGCGGCTGCGTGGGGTTCCCGGACGGAGCGTCAGCCCTGACCCTCCCCCATGGCTCGGAGCTGGGGGGACGATCCTGGGGGGCCCGGCCCTCCGGACCCGCCTCCCCCGGGACTTCTGCCGCCCCCCTCCTCTGTGCCCCTGCCCGCTGGCTGCAGAAGGGCTGGGGTCCTCTCTCCCACTAGCTCTTGTTCTGGCCCCGACACCCGGTGCCTGCCCTCAGGCGGCTTCCCTTCTGTGGGGGTGGAGGAAAGCATATCCAGAGGGGAGGGAGGGAGGGAGGAGCTTCCCACTCGTGGACAGGACTACTTTTTGGTGAGGCCTTTGGGCTGAAGTGACTCGCCCAGAGTCACACAGCTAGCCAGTGTCAAGTGTCTGAGGCCGGATTTGAACTCGGGTCCTCCTGACTCTGGGGCTGGTGCTCTGCCCACTTCGCCACTCGGCTGCCCCTGGCGTGACCGATCCCGTGACTCGTTAATTGGAGTCAGCCGGGTGAGGGCTATCTGATTAATTTCCACCACCATTGTAGCCCCTGCTTTAGTCTCTGGTCTCCAGGACCTTCATTTTACTGATGGGTAAACTGAGGCTGAGGGTAGGCTGGGTGGCCTGCCCGGGATTCACTCAGCGAAGTCAGCTTTCCTACTTAGTGCTTAGCAAGTGCTTCCACCCTGTGCCCCTTTTTACAGATGGGGAAACTGAGGCAGGCAGCAGGGAAGGGGCTTGCCTCAGGGTGGGAGTTAGTCTTCTCTTTGTGTTGGGTGTGGGCTTTGACTGTTGCCTTCAGTGGTTGATGACCTCTTGGGCCGTCATGGGCATGGGTCTGTGTGTGCCAACATGCGTGGTCGTGTGTGATGTGTGTGTGTTTGAGAGGGTGAAGAATGTACGTGTGCATCTGCATGAACATGTGAGTGTATGTGTATGTTTGAGAGGGTGGGTGGGTGTGTGTGCAGGTGTGTGTTGGAGATGGTGAGTGTGTGTGGGGGCACATGTGTGTGAGCCCCTCCTCTCTTCGGTGCATTCCCTCCCCCCAGCTATCTCTTCTACATTGTGGGGCTTGGGGGCATGGTCCCTCCCCCCCCACCACCATCTGGAAGTCCACACAAACTTTTTGGGCCCCTCTGTCCCAGAGAAGTCTGAGCTTTTCCCTTCTCTTTAGGGGTGTTTCCGGCACTTTTTGGTAAAAGTGGGGTTAGGTGTTTGGTCACAGGCTCTGTATCGCCTGTGGCTGCCACAGACCTCCCCCCAGTTCCCACTTTGTTTCTCACACCCCCGTGATGCCGCGCAGTGCAGGGGTGGTGGTCCTTGTCCCTCCAGTGACATCTCACAGCCTTCCAGTCCTTGGGCTTCCCAAGGTCCCTTTTGTGCTTTTCAGTTTCCTGCGCAGCCGTGAGCCCCACGCGGGGCCTGGAACAGGCCAACCATGTTCCACTTCTTCCGGAAGCCCTCGGAGCCCAAGAAGGTGCCGGTGCCGGAGAGGGAAGCTGATGGATTCGTCCTTTTGGGTGAGGCTGGGCTCAGGCCATCCTGTCCCTCTGTCCTTCCAGGAATCACAGTAAAAGATCTCTAGGAAGCCAAGAACAGGCCAGGGACTCAGAGGGAGAGCTTCAGAGTAATTGGAAACACCCACTTGTTGGGGGGGGAGGGGTGTTTAAAATGCTGAATTAGACAAATCTGGTAGAGGTTCCCTCTGGCCTAAAATGACGCCCAGGAGGGCAGCGGGGCCTTGAGGACTGTGGCTTCCTCCGTCTGCCAGGGGCCTACTGTGTGCCAGGCACTGTGCTGAGCACAGGCTCTCATGGTATCTTCCCCACGCCAAGGAGGGTCCCCATTTTACAGATGAGGACGCTGAGGCACACAGGCTAAGAGACTTGCTGGGCTTGCCCCACTGGTCAGTGTCTGAGGCTGGATTGGAACCCAGTCTTCCTGGCTTCAGGGAGGCATAAATACAATGCTAACAAATACAAATGTTTACAAGTACAAGGGGGTTTTAGAGTGAGAGCCCCAGCATTGGGGGTGGGGATCCAGGATAGGCTTCAAGTAGACGGTGGCGATGGAGGGCCCAGTGGATAGAGCTAGGAGGGGGGCCTTCCAGGCACGAGGGATGGCCAGTGCAGAGGTACCCAGACAGCAGACGGAGTACTGCGTGTACTTGCAGAAGGGGGGAGGTGAAGAGGCTGGAGAGCTGCCATGTGGGTGCAGGAGGAGTCCCTGTGGGGTCCTCGTGAGCCCCCACACATGATGCCCACTTTGGGAATGATAAAGGGGGTCATTGAGAGGCTGTCAGTCCACAGACAAATCCTTTTCCTTAGAAAGAGGGACGAGCAAGGACCCCCTCCCCTTTCCCAATGGGGTGGCCCACAGTCTGTCCCAGGCCCCGGGACATCCAGTCTTGGGAGAGACCATGATTCCTTCAGTCTTTCCTGTGTCCGCCTGGCTTCCTTAGAGGAGGGAGGAAGCACACTGAGTGGGCGCTTACTGTATGCCGGGCCTTTCCCTTTGGGCTCACGGCAGCCCAGGCAAGTGGACGCTTTTATTCTGTCATCGACCTTAGAGGGAACCTGAGGTGGGCACTTTGCCCAGGGGCCCCCGCTCGTTTGAGGGTACTATCAGTCAGTCATTTGGTCAGTATGCATTTTGTGGTGCCTACTGTGTGCTCTGAGCTCAGGACTAGGGATACACAGAAAGGCAAAAGTGGAATGAGTGAGCTGATACAGCGGACACCGTGCTGGACTTAGAGTCAGGAAGACCTGAGCTCAAATCCAGCCTCAGACACCTCCTCCCTGGGTGACCCTGGGCAGGTCACCGAACCCATCCCAGCCTCAGTTTCCTCATCTGTAAGATGGGATGATAATATACATGCTTGAGCTTTACCTCACAGGACGGTTGTGAGGAGCAAATAAGATAACCATGTTGGAGCGCTGTGACAGTCTGAAGGCCCGTGTGAATGTCCGGGCTTGTTCCTGTTCTTGGCTGAGGTGCTCGGCCCTCCACTCCCTCTGACTGACCTCTCCAGGCCTCTGCGCCCCACTTCGGGGAGTGCTCTGCCCTTTTACACCCTGTCCTTCCCTGTCCGCTGGGTGTCAGGCAGTGTGCCAGGTGCTGGGGGATACAAGCAGAGGCCAAGGACAGTCCCTGCCCTGCAGGAGCTCACAGTCTAACACACAGCTACTATGTATGAGCAAGGGAGGATGGGAGAAATGAGGAGACCAGTGGGGGGCTTTCCTGGCCGCCTCCTCTGCTGGATTCCAGCCCTCTTGAGACAAGGCCGGTGCCCTGTTTTATCTCTGTAGTCCCACTGAACCAAAATCGTCAGTGTCGTGTAGACACGGAGCAATCTTGGCTTCTCATGAGCTGGTGTCCGCGGGAGGGCAGCCAGCAGGAGATGGAGAAACTAAGTCATTTGCTCACCTCTTGTCATTTTCTTCTAAGCCTTCATTGCTTCTCGGATGGTGTGTCCCTTGACTTCATTTCACTCTGTGTGTCTGTGTGTGTGTGTCCATGTGTAAACACGTGTGCATGTGTGTGTCTTGCCTGTTCTGCATCTCTGTGTAGAGTGCTTTTCTTCTGAGGCAAGAAATAAGAGAGAGAAGGCATCTGTCCCTTTTGCTTGGATATATGATAAATGGCAATGAATATTTTCTGTGAGCCAACTTCTTTCACTTTCATTTTGAAAGCCAGTTTTGTAGAGGGTCCAGAAATTCAAATACAGCTTGCACCATCTGAGTGATGAGAAAATAAGACTTTAATCCTGGTTAATCCGTGGGGTTGACCTGGTTGTTCAGTGATGCCTTTCGTGCTGGTCCCTGGCCAGAAAACTCGGGTCCTGAGATGAATGATTCCCTCTGTGCGATGGCTCGTCTTTTGGCCGATTCTGAGAGTCGGTTTTCTAAAGTCTCAGCCCTCCTCAGAGACCGTCTCTCGCCATCTTGTCTCATTTGTAAATGAGGTGGGCGCCTTGGGTGTCAGCATGGAGAGCTTTGGGCCCTGGTTTTGTTGGAAGGGGACAGTCAGGGGGTGTGCTCCGGAAGGTCTTTGGCTGGGAATTGGGGGGGGGCGGTGTCATTGTACAGGAGAGTGAGGACCCTGTTGTGGCCCCTTCTCTGGCTCACAAAGGTGGGCCAGTCCGGCTGCCAGATCATTTGTGTAATAGCACCGTGGAACGCCTCTGGTCAGAAGTCGCTCTGGAATCTTGCTCTAAATTGATTTTTCTGACATCTTTAACTATATCTGGTGGGCTCAGAGACCGCCCATAGCTGCTCCTTTGGGGTGTTTCCCCTTAACTGCTAGAGTGTATTAAAGCTAATGCTGATTTTGAAGAATTAATGGATAATTTGAAATAAGGGATCTTGCTTGCTAAGGAAAGGCCCCGAGATGGTTTGTCTTCTTCCTTGAGTTTCTTCCACCCCTTGTCATTGGATAGATAGGCATATGCCAATGCATGCACACACACACACACACACACACACACACACACACACACACACACACACACACACACATGTCACAGATCCCTGTGATATCTTGCTTCATCTCTGATAATCCCTCGCTAGCTCTGCTACTTACTGCCTTTGTGATCTTTGACACAAAGATTCCTTCTCTGGGCCTCAATTTTGCCCTCTGTAGAACAGCAGAATATGGTGTCATGGATAGAGAGCTGGCCTCAGAGGCAAAAAGACCTGGCTTCAGATCTTGCCTCCCATGCTGGCTCTGTGATCGTGAGCAAGTCACTTAACTTCTTGGTGCTCCAAGCAATTCTCCAGGACTGTGCCATATGGTCAGCACTTGCTGTATCCGGAGCACAGCGCTAAGAACTGTGGATGCAAGCAGAACCATAGTCCTTGCTGTCAGGGAGCTCGCATGCTAGCAGGAGAGACTACACGTGAACAAGATGGCAGCGGAGGAGAGGGAAGGTGATTGTGCGAGAGGGGGAGGGGGAGGGGGAGGACCGGGAAAGCCCTGTAGCAGAAGGTCTGATCTGAGCTGGCTTGAAGGAGGCCGGGGCCTCCAGAGGCAGAGGGGGCCAGAGAGCTCGGCATTCTGGGTCTGGGGAGATGCCAACCTACCTTAGTGGGAGGAGTTCCCGTGCCAGTTGTTCCCCACATCGATGTCATCATGGGCCAGATGCTGCACCTTCACCGGCCCCTCAAAAAACCCCAGAAGGGAACTCAACCTGGTCTGTGGTTCTTTCTAGTCCTAAATCCAGTGTCCTCGTACTCCATCCTAGACACAGATATTTTTGAGAAGGATTAAGGTGTTCCAGGCGGGGGGAAAGTGACAAGAATCATGAAAGATTTGAGGGTACTGAGGCCACGTGAAGACATCATTGTTGCTGAAATTCTCCGTAAATCCCCTCCAGTTGTTTTGGCCAGTCCCACCAAGTTTCCTGCAAATAGGTTTTTCCTTCTGCTGCTTCTCCCCTTTTCACTGAAGTGATCTCACTTACAGTCTTCCATCCCTCCCTCTGCAGCTTCACACTCTTAGCCAGGTGAGCAAGCTCACTCAGCAAGCAGGAGCTTCTTATGTGCTGACAGTGTGCCTACACTGTGCTTAGTGCTGAGAATACAAATACTGGGAGAAAGGAAGATGGGGCATACGTACTAATAGGGGGAGATAACACATAAAAGGAAGCTGGGGAGGGGGTGGCTAGGGAGACAAAAGCACCAGGACATGGCGGATGGCTCTGGAGTGGGGCCTGGAGAGGAATGAGACGTGGCGGCCTGGGCGCTCTCCTTCAATTGAGGTTCTGGTAGGAGACCTACAACGAGGGTCTGGAGGGCTGGATTCTAGGGCGAGGGTGAGGCCTGCTTGGGAAGAAGGGTTTGGGGCCTGGCGGGGGGCTCTGGAGAGGAATGAGAGGGCTTTGTTGGCTGATGTGAGTTCTCTGCTCTTTGGATTTCCACATTGTGATTCATTTACATTTGTTAACATGGGAAATGGTGATAATCTGTGTTGGAGGCCAGCTTTTCTATCCATTTCCCACATTTTTGGTATTAACAGTTGTTCAAGTAGTTAGGTTGAGTTTCTTTAGTCTGCATTTATAGCTGCCCATTTTTATCCCCAATACACTTCCTGAGAAAGTAGAAGTGTCACTAAAAAAACAAGAAGAGCTTCTGACCTTGACCAAACATCCCCAAGGAAGCCTGCACCCGAGATAACAACATGGTGGCTGAGGGGATGGTTCTTAAGATGTCTCCATGAAGACCTCGTTCTTATAGGATGCCTGAGAGAATGGCAGCTGTGACCAACCCTGCACCCAAAAAGATTGGCCACAATGTAGATTGAGAGATTGAGCTTCTCCAGCTTCGGAAGCATTTTCTTGTTAAAAAATTTTTAAAGTTAATTTATTAATTTCAGTTTTTAACATTCACTTACACAAGATCTTGAATTCCAGACTTTCTTCCCATCTCTCCCCTCACCCCCCAAGATGGCATACTTCTGAATACCTCTTGCCCTGATCTGCCCTCCCTTCTATCACCTCACTCCTCCTTCTGTTTTCCTGTAGGGCAGGATAGATTTCTATACCTCATTGCCCCTATATCTTCTTTCAAAGCGTTATTTTCTTTTACATCACTGTTCACAACCAGTAGCTGTGGTGGAAAAGTGCATCCCCTTGTTTGTGTGCATATGTGTTTACATGTGGAGATGTTATGCTCTCTAGATGTACACCACGTACGGCGGTAATTATATGTAACAGAACAGTTTTTATCTTAGGGCAAAATCTGTTTGCAGACTCTCTCTGTAAGAAGCTCCAGTGTTCCTCAGTATGGTGAAACATGAACTTGGCTTCCAGCTGATTTCCAGAAAGTCTTAAAAAGTGATTTCAGCTGGGACCAGCAACACACTGGTGAGGTCCTTTTTTCCTCTTGCTTTGAAGGTGACACAGAGAATGAGCAGAAAGCATCCCCAGGAGGCAGCCCCTCAGAAGGAGCAAAGCAGCCCTCCCAGGTAAGAGGCGGCACCTTCTCCTCTGTGTCTTTGGCGACGAGTCTTTTTAGACTTCCAAAGACCAATGTGAAGGGAGAGTTGTGTCCATGCACGTTACATGCTTTGCTAGAAGGACCTTGTCTTGGGTAATATCCCAACCTACTTTAAATGAAAGTTGGAAGCAAAGTTCCTATTTTCCTAATATGCTTAAACGTGTCTCATAATTGAAACCAAAGTGATTATCCAAAGTCATCATTTGTATGGGGATGTCCAAGCTTGTGAAATATTGTCATCTACTCTCATTTAGTCAAGCAAGTCATTGTCCAAAACAGATGAAGGTGAGGAAGATGGAAAAGAAAAAGACCCCCGCCCCGCCTCCCAGCCCCACCCCTGACCAACTTTGTTCCATATGAGCGTCCCACATGACAGCCTGTGCCTGTGGAGGCAGAGCTACAATAATCACTAACAGGTGGGTGGCTGGGAGTGACAGGGTTTGCTGGGGTCCTCAGGAGGCCCCCAGCTGCCCCATGGCACTGACAGAGACACGAAAGATCTTTCAAGCCTCCAGCATGGAATGTAGGGCTCCCTTCTTCCTCCTTGTGTTTACTGAAGCAGCTCTGCCTTCTTTGGAATCACACTCTAATAACAGCCAGCGTGTTCTTTGGGGTCACTGTAGAGTGGCAGATTTAATGGGCAGCAGTTGTAACAATAGCATTAATTATAATTGAAACATGGATAAGACATATTCTCTGCTAGATTGAAAAGGCGTGTTGCAGCAGAACATCCCCAGTGGTCCCCAAAGACCCAGTTTTCTAGCTGTGTGGAAGAAGGAAGGCAGCGTCCTTTGCTTGTTCTTATTTTAAAAGAGGAAACAATGCCCTGGCTTTCTGTCTGACTGGGCCTCCCTTTGGACTGTGCGAACACGTTTGGTCTCAGGTGTTGGTGATGCTGGGATGTAAGGCAGACCTGGCCTCGATGCAGTGCTGGGGAGTATGTGGCAGAAAGGAGAGGCGTCAGGAGACAAGCAGGCTGGGCCTTGACTTCCAGGTCCAGTGCTGGCTAAGAGCCCTAGGTTTCTCATCTGTAAAATGGGGACACCAATCCCTACCCTACCCATCTGCTGGATTTTGGGGGGGAGAAAAGACATGTGTACTCCACTAGAAATGTGAAGAGACGTGGGTGAATCCCATGTGGGCTTTTCAGCCTGGGGGAATGTAGCCTCCCAGAATATTTCAGAAAAGCATGGAATGCACTTGTTGGCCAAGCCAGGCTGGGTTCTTTGAGCCCCTGGTGTGTGTCCCCCCCTTCTCCTGGGAGTTCTCTCATTGGTTGTCCAGAAAGTGAAGGAGAGTCCAACATGGAGGACTGGTGTCCTTGATCCTGACGCTTTGGGATCTCTCTTCAGGATTAAGTTGTTTTAGAGCCTCGCCGGCAGGGACTCCCTGTCCTTCCTTCTTCACACAGAACCCCACGGAGGTCTGGAAGCCACCTGAGAGTCTCGGAATGCCTTATGGGGGAAGGGGGGTTTACTTGTGTCCTCTCCCAGTCAACACAGCAAAGATGATTAAAGCCATGGAAAGTGAATGGAAATTCAGGCCCATGGGGGGACATGAAAGATGTGGGCCCTAGGAGCAGAATCAGCAACATCATCTCAATGGCATGTGAAGGATCATTTTGTTTTTGTCTGTTTGGGGGAGCATTGTCTGTGAGGGCCAAGGGGAAGGAGTAGCCTTGGATGACAAGATAAGGTTTCTGGAGCTCTCGGCTGGCAGGGCTTTCCGATGGAGGGTCCCGAGTGCATGGGGTGACAGGCGACAGTCTTCTTCCTGGGCAGCCCATTGGATTAGTGGTCAGTCCTGGTCTCCACAGCTTAGGGGAAGACAGGGATAAAGCAGAGCCTGGCTCAGAGGAAGACAGTCTGAGCGAATTGGGACTCTCGGCTTCTTGGTTAGGGATGATGACCTGTTTATATATCCCCAGCATCTTTGGGGGCGGGGCGTCTGATGCACAGTGCCTGGCATGCTATGGTCACCCAATAAACGTGTGTCCAGTGATGGACTGCATGTGGAGCCTGAGAAGCCTGGTGGGAGGGGTTGATTGCCAGTGGTTGTCAAGTGTTTGAAGGGCTGCAGCTTGGGGAAATTTTGAGTCACCAAAAGCTTATTGAGTCATTTCCATCTTCTTGGTTCTGAAGATGCTATTTCATGCAATACAGAATATGTCTTCACATCTTCTACGCTTACCATGCATTCCCCACAGCTTCTAGTTTCACATTCCATGATGTAAAATCACAGAATTGGCAGGGTGAGGCTCGGTTCCACATGGGATGAACCAGCTGTTCAGAAAGGGTGGTGAAGGCTTATTAATTGGTTACAATTGTCCTTTGTTTTCGAAGAGGACCAGTGACATCCCGACATTGTCAGGGCACAGTGGTTCTGGCTGTGGCCGGTCAGTCCAACCTGAGCCAGCAAGCCCAAGTGGTGTGCTAGAACTTTGGAGAGAGTGATGTCTTGCAAAGGTGAAAGGGGCTGTTGAGAGGGTAGGATTCCAGCTCCTGGTTTGGCAGGTATAGAAACGGGACCCGGGAGGGGAATGGACTTCCCAAAGTAGCAGGCCTGTACCTGGCAGATGGAGGCCCCAGGGGAGTGTTCCAAGCTTGAAGCTTGTCAGAGCTTTGGTTCTGGCCCATTCGGCAAAGTGGTTTTCTCCCTGGGGAGGGACCAGGTCATGGGGCCCTCTGTGCATCCTGTTTCCCACCGCTCCCCCAACATCACTTCAGTGACCACAAATACTGATGTGAATCCACAATACTTTCTTTATCGCCAGTCATACGGTGAAAGATCTGTGCATCAGCTCCCCCAATCCAGGGCAGGGAAAGCCCCTAGGGTTGGCATGATTGTGGCTGCCACACCAGATCCTTAACAGGAAGGACCTTGGGACATCCCATTCCCTGCACCTGTCAGTCAGTTGTGTAACTCATTTATTCGCTAGGTCCCCAGGCAGGGGTGGGGAAGCTGCAAGCCTCAGGGCCATGTGTGGCCCTCTAGGTCTTTGGGTGTGGCCTTTTGACTGAATCCAAGTTTTACAGAACGGATCTTTTTATTAAAGTTATTTGTTCTGTGAAGTTTGGGTTCAGAGGGCTGCACTTGAGGACCTAGAGGGCCACTTGTGGCCTCAAGGCGGAAGGTTCCCCACTCTTGCCCTAGGGGGTGTCCCAGGCCTTGGGCTGGACCCTGGGATGTAGAGAAGAATGAAAACAGTTTGTTAAGAGGAAACAACACAAACATGGGAAGGAGACACAAAACACATACCAAGTCAGTTCAGTGAGATGTGACTCCTGTCTCTGGGTGTGGTCTTCTCCCAGATCCCAGTAGCAGAAGCAGTAAGAGGGAGAGAGTACAGAGGGAAAAGGGAAGAGCCTAGGACAGAGCTCTCAGGGCTCCCGCAGGGCGTGGACATGCCTGGAAGAGGGTATGGGTGTGAGTGTGTATAAGTGGGTGTGTGTGGTGTGTGTGAGTGAGTGTGTATGCGGTGTGTAGATGTGTGCGAGAGTGCATTGTGAGTGAGTGAGTGAGTGTGGGTGTGACATGTGGGTGTGAGTGCGTATGTGCGCTTGCGTGTGTCTGTGCGCATGCAGCAGGTCCAGTCCATCTATGGGGAGGAGAAGCTGACCAGAGCTGCTCCGGGAAGCTGGTGTGGCCTTGAGGCAGCTAGGGAGGAAAAGACATCCCGGGGCAGGGGTAGCACCCCAGCAAATGCACAGAGAAGGGTGCCCCCCTGAGGCTGCTCTGGGAGCCAGGGGCCTGGCGGAAGGGGAGGCCAGCAGCACTGGATTGGCAGCCTCCGGAGCCAAGCCTTTCTCTTGCCCTGGGCAGTCGGCTTGTATGCGGCTCCTCCAGTGGGCTGCATGTGTCTCGTTGGTCATCATATCGTCAGATGCCATGCCCAGGCCACTGCAGGCCTCCTCAAGAGGGCTCACAGCCTTGTTTACAATGTCCACTGTGTGGGTTTTGTTCCCTGTAGGCAGATGTGGGAGAGCAGCCCCATGGCAGTGCATCAGGCCCTCTGAAGGACTCCGAAGGCCAGATGATGGAGAACAGCGCCCTTGCGTCGGAGCTGCTCAGGGACGTGCCCTTCACCCTGGCGCCCCATGTGTTGGCAGTGCAGGGCGCCGCCAGCGACCTCCCGAGCCACTTACTGACCCCAGAGTTCACTGACAACTTGTCACGATTTTTGTATGATTTTACTCTGGAAAATTCCGTGCTGTGTAACCCCTAATGGGTCAGCAGGACGAGGTGCGTGAGCATCTTAATTGCCAAATGTTCTTGTGTGAAACCTTGTCGCGCTTAGTGTTTTCACATGATTATTAATGTTCAGGACCTTCAGGAATCACTGATTTTCACATGCATTTGTATGGTCACCTTATTTTGGAATTGGCAACATTTACACCAGATACTCAGACCAGGCCAGAGTCTGCTCCACCCCTGCGGGAGGGAGAACGTGAATGTGCTCTTCAGTGTTTTGGAAAAGCTCAGCAGGGAAATTCTCCAGCCAAACATCGCACCTGACAGCAGGCATCTGCGAGGCTCTGTGTGTTCCTCTCTGACACTCCACATCTCACAGCCTTGTGGTCGGGGAGCTCCATGTCAGTGTTACTTCAGGAGAGTGCAGGGGCCTATCTCGGCATCCACCGGCCCGTGGTGGTCCCCTCCCGGGCCGGGCTGCTGGCTGAGTGTCTGGGGGAAGGGTCCATCTGCCTGGCTCTGCCTTTTCCCTTCCCCTCATTGGCTTTGTTTTTCAAGGACTTTTATCTGAGGCTTCCTCATGTGAGAGAGGTGAGGAAAAGCCAAGTCTGAATCTGGCCCTCAGCACTTGCTTAGCTGTATGACCCTGGACAAGTCATTGTACTTCTGCCAGCCTCCGTTTTCTCATCGATAAAATGGGAATAATAGCACCTTTCTCCCAGGGTTCTTATGAGAATTAAGCAAGATAATATCTGTAAAGTGCTTTGCAAAGTGCTATATAAATGATAGCGAATGTTGTTATCATCATTATTATTATTGTTATTATTATTGCCATCACCACCCATGTCCCTGGTTTATGCACAGATCAGCCGTCTTGGTCAGCCTCTGTTTCCTAAGGAAGATGTCTCTGGGTGAGATGTATGACTGCAGATCATCAGTCAGGTCGCCACCCCGATGCAGATGGAAGCATTTTTCAGACTCCGAGGCAGAGGGTGCAAGCCTCGAATGGACCTGTTTCCCTCCACCTCCACTACCGAGCAGCTGCCTCAGGGCAGCGGCTGCGTGGCCATTAACCTGGCGGTCGAGACTTCTGGGGCCCATGGTGCATGCCCATGTTCACTGAGGGCGCCAGATAAGAAAGGAGTGCATGAACTCCTGCCTCTGGACCCACCCGGTGTCCACCTGTGCAGAGATGTCAATTTTTCATGCGTCTCAGGCTGCTTTGATCCACGTGTGCCAGATAGTGCTGCTCAGCGGTGGAGGGAACGCGCGTGCGTCTACACTTGCTGGAGAGGATGCAGGCTGGATGTCTGTGCACGTACAAGACAGCAGCATCATTTTATGAAAATGTCGCCTGGAAGAGGGGATTGTAAAGGACCTGCTTGCTATTTATGTCACCAGCAGAAATGAGCATTATTTTTATAACATGCTCTTGTGTGATCACCTTTTCTCACATGCCCCAATGGATATATTTTTACACTTTAACCACTTTTCCTGAATGTTTTGTCAGATATTATCTAAGATACCTACACATTTCATCCATCCCTGTTTTGTTGTAAATTTACTATTATTTGCAGAAAACATTTATAATTCTATTTCAATAAACGAGAATTAAAATATGGAACATTAAGAGAATGGTTTCCTCTATATTATTCCGTGTCTGCATAGAGTGTATGAGTTTATCGGGGACTGAGAAAGTGAATAATCTGGTCTGTGATATAGAGAAATGTAAAACGCAATCTTCAACAGAAGCAGCTTTGAAAAGAAAGCGCCTCACTAAGCAGGAAGACAGGGAGGGAGCCCGTGGAGGGCAGCCTCCTGGGGGCAGAGGTCACCTGCTCGGAGGTGCTGGAGGGGTGCTTCCACATGTCATAGCACAGTCAGTTGTGTGGAAAGCCCAGATCATCAGGGCCTTTGGAAAGTGGGGTTCTAGATAAACGAACTGTAACGCCGGGTTAGCTCCGCGGACTCGTGGAGAGTCTAGGGAGTGAGCCCACGCCTCTCACTTTGCAGTTGAAGAAAGGAAGACTGAGAGAGGGTGGGTGATGGGCTCCAGGCCGCGTGGGGCCCGCCCTTCCTGCGCACCTTCCTTGGCAAAGACATTGGATCAGTAAGTCCATGGGTAAGATGGCGGCCCCCTCCCTGCTCTCGTGGGAGGTGAGGTTTCAGATAAATGCCACGGACCCGCTGATGTTGTGCCCTTGGCAGAGCAACGAGAGGCTGGGTCACCTGATGGATTGTGTGCTGGCCTTCCAGTGAGGAAGACCTGGGTGCGAATGATGTCTGTTGACACTGCCTAGTTGTAGGACCTTGGTCAGGTCTCTGAGCCTCAGTTTCCTCATCTGTAAAATGGGAATAACGATCGCAAGGGCACCTTCTAACATAAGCCACAAGTGAAGTACCATTTACTATTCATCACATGCCTCTCACATGCACTGCATGTGTGGGAACTTAAAGACAAGGTTCTCCCCAGGAAAGGTTCTCTGGTTTTGTTATTTCATTTCAGTGTGAGAGTATTCAGAACGACTCACCTGCTACTGGAAACTCTAATCCCTGATTGTCCTGCCTAGGGGGAAGTTGCTTAGACGTTCTTCTCTCCTAAAACATCCGACATGAGTTTTAAGGTTCCCTTTGATTTTGATCGTGGCTGTTTCCAGAAGCTCCTGCTCTGAGAACTGGAACAAAATAAAAGGTTCCGTGTCCCTTGGGCCAGGCCCTCAGCCTCTGCTCCTTGGTTCCCTACTCTGCAGCGACCCCCCCCACGGCCCCTTCTGGCTCTCCTCAATGATTCCACATGTCTTTCTGTTCCTCCCAGCCAGGGCTCTGTCCTCCACCTGGGCACCAGTGCCCCGGCTGGTCCCCATGCCTGACGTGCTTCCCCTCTGCCTCGTGGCACCTGTCCCTTCCCAGCTCAGACACCACCTGCAGGAAGGGGGCCTTTCCTAGTCCCCCTCATGCCCCATCCACTGCTTGTGCCTCCCAGCCAGCCCTGGCTCGATCTCAGTCCTCTCCCCAGAGATGAAGGCTTTTGGCATCTTGGTGTGTAAGGGAGAGCTCTGTGCTCATGACACCACAGCCTTAGAGCCAGGCCATCTGGGAGCCCAGAATCTGTGACATGAAGCACTCTGTGCCCAGAGGAGACGAATGTTTTTAATGTGCAGCAAGAAAGCCGTGTTGACTCACGTTCCTGGAGGAAGAAGGGGTATGTGCTTAATAAAGAAGGCATTTCACCTTTAAGCGGTAGCCTCCCAAATACCTAAGGCCAAGTCACTGATGTTTGTCCAGAAAGGTTTTTAATATTTTACCTAGTCAGCAGCGACCCAGGGTGTGTGCCAGAACAAGGTCGATCTCATCAAATTATATCAAACAAAGCAGAACATCTTTTTTGTTTTGCCCTGGAGAGAAACTTGAATCTAGTTCTTTGGCAAGACTCTGCCCAGACCCGATTTCCAACCCACAAAAAAAACCAAATTCCCCCCAAGCAATAGTAAGTCCAAGGATAATTGTCTCCAGATCAGCCCTGAGCCAGCCCCACAGACCTCAGCTATGAGCCTGCCCAGAAGCAGAGTCCACCAGTGGGCTTTTGCTGAGGTCAGTGTGGGAACCAGCAGCTGTGGCTGCTGCCAGGGTTTTAAGCTGCCTGCTTTACCCCTCATGTGGCCATAGGTGCTGCGAGGGTCATGCTAGAAGGGAATATGCCAGCACTGCTTGGTGATTTTGTGTTCACTGGTTTTCAAAAATACATGAGCTCATGGGAAGGCCAGTCTAGCAGAATAGCATCACTAAGCCCTTGTGGGGGGGGGGGGTCCCCAGGAAGATGGCCAGCTGCAGGCTTCCTTAGCCTCTTCTCCCCCCAGGGCACCCAGCCTGAGGCCCAGGTCTGCTCATGAAGGGGATGCTGGGAGCGTCTGAACCCACAGGTAGAAATGATGATGACTACAGAGGGAAGGATACCTGGTTTTCGTGTTCACAAAATGGAGAGATTAGGAAAGAAGAGCGAGTCAGCTTCCTGTCCCCTGTGACCCAGCAGCCCTGTCCCGGGCATCCAAGACACAAGCAGTGCTCAGTGGAAGCAGGAGCCGTAAGCACCCGGATGGGGCCTGGCTGGGCAGCCTGGGGTTGGCATATGAAGGTGAAGAAATAGCAGGGGATGACGTGAAGAGGAGAGATTCTGAGGAGCTCGGGAAGATGGGCTTTGACATCAGCAGAACCTAAGGAGCAAGGTACACACTGACTGCACCAGTGAGAAGGGAAAGGTCCTGACTAGGAAGCCAGGCACTCAGGAACTGAAAGGTCCTCTCTCAGCTCTTCCCCAGGCTGTCCCCTCTGCACCACCTCCTCTCGCTGATCTTGACCCCCTTGTCCTGTCGCCAGTCCTGCCTCACCAAGTTCCAAGCCTTGTTGCTCTGACCATTGGCTTCTTTTGCTCTTACTCATGCGGATGAGCAGAGCTGGAGAAATCATGATCTCCATTACCTGGGCCCACAACAGATTGATGTTGGTTAACCTCAGGCAGACACTCTCTCCTTCTGAATTCTTCTCTGCCCATTCTCCATAGTGGCTCATCTCTTCCTGAGCTTCCATTCATCCTGTTGGCCGAAGGTCTTGTCTTGTTCAGCAACAGCTCCCTCTTTCCCCTCATCTCATATTCCTGAGATCTTTCTCTGCTGTCCACTTCACGCTTATCTCAATTGAAAAGGCAATTCTTTTCTTCCCTAAGGCAAACCCTTCTGCATACCCCTTCTAGCATCTCCAACAAGTGGCTTCTACTATAAAAATCTGCTCTTTTATATACAGTCTCTCCCTGTCTACTGCATCCTTCCCTGCTGTTCACAAACGTGCCCAAGTCTTCTCCATCCTTAAAAAACCCTCATTTGAACTGTCTGTCACCATCAGCTATGGCGCTCTGTCATTCCTCGCCATCATGAATAAACTCAGTGAGAAAGCCATCTACACTAGATGCCTCCTCTTCTTCCATTCTCTAAGCTGTGGGCAGCCTGAAACATCCTGCTCCAAATAGTTTAGTATTTGCTTGTCCAGTGGCCTTTTCTCAGTCCCGATACTTCTTGGCCTTTCAATACTCTTGACCCCCTCTTTCTAGACACCCTCTCCTCTAGGTTTTTGGGACGCCGTCCTGTGCTACTTCTCTTCTCCATCCAACTGCTCCTTCTTGGTTTCCTTGCTGGTTCATTGTCCATGATGGATATGGAATTGGGTGCCCTCCAGAGGCCCTGGACCATCTCCCTCAGTGATCTCATCAGCTCCCAGAGGCTCAGTTATCATCCTCATGCAGATGATTCCCAGAGCCATGATCCCAGCCAAGTCTCTCTGCTATGATCATGCAAACCGGATGTCCTGATGGCATGCCATCCCACATATCCCAACCAAATTCATCTTCTTTCCACTTGAGCCTTTCCCCTTCCAAACTTTGTTATTATTGTTGAGGACACTGGGACCATCCTCCTGGTTACCTCGGCTCACACCCTCAGCATCAGCCTTTACTACTCACTCTTACTCACCTCCCATGACCTGTCAAGACCAAATCTGGCCATTTTCACCTTCCCATCTCATATATATATACGCTAACTGGTCTCCCTGACTCAAGTTTTTCCCCGACACTCAATTGAGCTCTCTGTTTCTCCCTAGAAATCTGTATATGAGAACACTTCTCTTAATTCCTCTTTACTGGAGAAATTCCACTTTTGAACTCCATGCTCTGTGTGTGTGTGTGTGTGTGTGTGTGTGTACAGCAGCACAATGCCTAGCATACAGTATGCGCTTAATAAAAATGACCCTCACCACAAGGCCTGACAATTCCTCTGCTCTCCAAAGTCATTCTTCTCTTAACGTTTCTAATGTTGGCTTTATAGCAGTAGACATCCATCTCTGATGCCACTGGTCATCCAAGGTTCCAGTGCAATGAAATGTAGTTTTATTTTGCCTCCAAGCTTTCCTAGCCTGCTATTGAAAGCTTTCAAAGGACATTTTCTGTGTGAAAGGGACTATGCTTCTACCTGTTGTAATTTGGATTTTGCTTTTGTTTTCTTAATGTCCATGGAGAATAAACTTTCTTTTGCCTTCCTTTAAATCGGCATTGGCTAAGGCTGATTAAATCACACCACATTCTTCGTATGTTTAAATAGATGCCATATAAGAGAATGTCTGGCGTCTTAATGGACTGCGCCATTTTGTGTTGGGGTCATAGAACCTTGCTGAAGAGTTGGGAGAATGTTAACCCTTTGAGTGGCGGTCCCGATTCATGCAAGATCTGCTCTTTTAACTTGGCTAGAAAGCAGATGAGTATCTGAGTTATAAATGAGATGACTTTGTTTTCCAGCATCCAAAACCAGGATCCTACCCATCAGGGAAAGCATTCTCTGGCTGTATGTACTTCAGGCATGCTACCCCCAGGATTTCAGTAAGGGTCCTTGAATCCCTTTAATTCAGCATTTCTGAAATGTCTGCTATGGTCTCTGTAGAACTCTCGGGAAGGTCAGATAAGTCATGGTCCCTGTTCTTCCTAGAGTTATGGCCTAATAGAGGTCAGATACATTCACAAGTGACTAAGATTCATTCTAGAACATGATAAACACATAAAGGAGGTGTGAGCAGAAAGCTGCCTGAGTGCCCAACCC